TGAAATATTTCACAGTATGGCATTAAATCTTTCTATAATCATGGAGACCAAACCAGGCCAAGTTACTGGTCAGATCTTTGTATACACAACCCTGCTCACATCAGAATACCTGTTTTTTTGTTGTTGTTGTTTTTTTTTTTTTGTATTATGGAGTAATAAAACCACCAGTAATTGAATAAATGCAAGGTAGATCTGTTTAATGTCATATTGTGGAACATTAGAAGCAGAGCAATGCCATATCCATAGAAACAAGACGATGATGGACCCCCAACTAGAAAGTTGCACAGTGCACCTTTAAAAATACAGGGAAACATTTCTTGTGTTACCACATGACATCAAAAAGTGGAACAGAGTGGTTTTCCATTTGAGTGAAGAACAGCTTAAATACAAGGTTTGTGTGTTAAAACTTGTGTCAATAAAGCAAAACACAGCTCCAAGTATGTTTCTTTCTGAGGAGCTAACAACATTATAACATGGACAGCAGATTACAAATCCAAAATCACAGATAGTGTGTCTTTAAAACAGTTTAAGCTAGGGTGACCAGATCGGGGTGATCAAAAAGGAGGACAGCTGTTGTGATGTTTGTAGTTTGTTATTTCTGTTGGTGTTTGAATTTAATATTACAAATGTGTGATATTATGTGTATCAGGGGATCAGAGGTCCTCTCAGAGGGCTTTTGGACAATTTACTGTATTTCATTGCATTTTAGAGGTCTACTGAAGCCATAGCTCAATAATATATGCCAATTTAGCCAATGTTTGAGTAACCCTTCATTATTAGTTTGTCTACATCTACAAAGCTAAAAATGCTTGATTCCATCTTAAGATGTGAAAACTATAGTGGTAGTTTTCAAGTTAACAGCTCCTTTTACTTTTAGTTCAGTAGAGATTGGTAACTCCATGGCTGATTTTATTCAAATGATTATAGTAAAGGTGTATGGAGTTTAAAAATACAGTGGATCACTTCCTGTATTGCCACATGACATCACAAGGTGGAACAAATGTTTTCAGTTTGAGAGAAGAACTTCATTGGTGTGTTAAACATGTGTGAATGAAAACTCCAAGTACGTTTCTGTTGACGAGACACTTTATAACATAAAATAAAACCAAAAATAACTTGATATGAACTGTCTCTGGGTTCCTACTTTTATTCACATCACTGAAGGTCTGTGTACCATTCATTCTTTTGAATAGTTTGTTATGTCATTATTCTGTTTTAGTGTCAAACAAAAAAAACAGATTTCGATCTCTATTTCCAATATTTTATTTAAATTTTGTTTCAAATAACACAATCAAAAAACATCATCGTGCCTATTTCAATTTTGATATTTTATTCTCTGTTTTCCAATTTTGTTGTTTTTCGTTCTTAATTGAAATTTAAAAAGAATGGTACACGGACCCTTGAACCTGGTTTACCTTGATGTAATAACACCAATAAATGTGTGGTAAATATAGGTCTTATCAACTGTTGTGGAAAAATTTCTGTATCACTTGATGATAAATAATTAATCCATTTGTGAGTTTTTAGTATACAGACAAAGGTTTAGTCTTGTTACAGCAGATATGGGCAGGGCCTAGGCCTGCCCTGTCCACACACCAACAGCCTCCTCAGCAGCAGAATGTCCCTACCACAGAGCATCTGAGTCTCTGAAGCTTCCTCTGGTAAAGTATTTACATTGTATTATCCACGTGTAATCTCCTGTCTGATATTAAAATATAGAGTTAATTTAGCATGACTCAGCTAATAAGCTTTGTGCACAGTAGCACGATAGCTAGCTCACTGTCTCAAAGTTAATGGGTCAAATGTATTAAAATCCTAAAATATAAAATAAACAACCTATTCAAATAGTAATTAATTAAAATAAAAACTACCCAATTATTTTGATATATAGTTGACTTCAGTTTGTGGTGTTGTTATTCTAGAGGCTAATCTTTGACTCGTTTTCTCCTTATTACTAACTTAACCTCTTCACAAGGAAAGATGACTAATGAGAATGTCTTACGTGTTTACAACTTGATGTTGTTGCAGCATGGTAAAACGACCGTGTTGCTCCAGCCATCTATTTTCTTTATTGTCAACAAGTTCAAGAACAGCATTTCTTCACATCTAATTACATGAGAATACAACAGATAGGCACTAGTGCGCCCCCAAATGTTCAAATCATGTATCAGTTTTCTTTCTTTTAAATCAAACATAAATCATGTACTGAAACATTTTCACTTGCATTTTAAACAAAAATACAAAGTTATTATGAGTTATTATGAATTGTTAATTATTTATGCAAATATGTAAACCCTATGAAATGGCGCTTACATTCTGGCCCCTAATTGTTACTGCTGCTACATAACAATTACCACAAAATAAAATAAAAGCAACTTTTTTTTTTTTTTACATAAACAAAACATTTCTGAATCTGAACCCAAATAATGAACTGTACCATACAATTTTTATATGGCTTTAAACTCAGTAGTATATTACTCATCCATTTCAAGCAGAAGACACAATTTATCTACTGATCTTTCCAAAATACTGCGTTTAGTTTTCACTAGTACTCTCCTCACATGACCTTTGGAATCACAGATAGATTTTTCAACTTTTCCCATTAACCATGAACATCTCAGTGCACGGTTGTCTACTATAAGAACAACGTCACCAGGTTTCAAGTTTCTCTTAGCATTAAATCACTTCTGTCTTTCTTATAAAAGGGGGAAATATTCTTTAGTCCCAACATTTCCAAAAAATATCAGACAGGTACTGAACCTGACGCCACTGCCTTTTTGAATACAAGTCCTCTTTTTGAAACACACCAGGTGGCAATACTGGTTTTCTTTTCACGAGAAGGCAGTTTTCTTATTTTCTGACAATCAGCAAGTGTGTGTTTTTTTCACAGCAAAGGCATGGTTTCTGAAATGCATCAATTGCTTGACGCAAGTTGCCTTTGTTATTATCTGGTAATTTGTCCCTTGTTGAAGGTGTCACATTGGTAGCAAATGCACTGTCCCTTGGTCTAAATGTCTTGTGTATTTTTGAGCTTTGATTTTGTCATCATCTTTAATATTACCAAACAAAGGATCTGAAGCTATTTTAGCTTGTCTGTTCACAAATCTAACCAGATCTGAAAACTTTGCTCGCCTACCAGAAGTTTCTTGAATGTCACAAGCAGACACACTCCACATTTCTCTCATTTTATAAGGTAACTTAGAAACTATGACTCTAAGGTTAGTTGGGTTGTCTAACTCCTCTAGGTGATTAATGTCCTGCATGGCATTGTTACAACCAGTCAAAAAAGAGAGTAACTATGAAGAGCTCTGGCATCATTTGCTTTAACCTGTGGCCAGTTTGCAGCTCCATTCAGGTAAGCTGAATAGAGCTGTATTCATACGTTTGGGCTTGGCCGCATCTCATTTCTCTTTCCTTGCTTCTGTCTCCTAGATTACGCTCCTCGATTCTGCAGGAGAGAGGAGAGGGCAGCAGATGAGAGAGGAGCAGAGAAGCAGAAGAAAGGAGGAAAGACGAGCAGAGGAGAGAGTAGAGGAGCAAAGGAGAGGGGAGCAGAATTTGACATGTTATGCAAACCTGTGAAATTCAGGTTTGCATAACATGTCAGACATGCTTGCTGGTGTGTCTGTAGTACTTAAACTCCTCACTTAGACCAATAAAGTTTGATTATTTGATCTGATGTCTGCCTTCTGAAGCCTCCCTCATGTTTACTCCATGGTTTCCTTTCCTTGTCTATTTGGAGCTTTGCGACACCACTTAATATGACACATTTGACTGACAGCTGAAAAAGAGGAATCAAGGAGAAGGAAGTGAGAAAAGAGAAATAAGACGTGACCATAAACACACCTATGGAGCAGGAAGTGCAGCTCCGCAGTTTTTGAGAGAACCGGAACTAGCCAGGTGGCTCCATGAATAGGGTCTATTCACTACTGTGTCTAATAATGAGCTTAGACCTCCACTGAAAATAATAAGTTTATTTTGAGAGTGACAAAGAAAAAGAGATTTACTAATAGCATCAATTAATATTAAAGGTCCTACATTATGCAAAATGTACTCTTGTGACATTTAGCCATGTTTAGAAAATGCTGAAAAACATACCTGGAATTGTGTTTTGTTTCATTCACACATGTTTGAGTAATCCTTTATTATTAGTCTCCAAAGTTCAAAATGCTCAGTTCCACCTTATGATATCATGAAGAGGCAGTTTTTTCTTTTCCCTTTCCCCTTAGTTCAGTAGGGATTGGCAATTTCAAGGCTAAAATTATCCAGATGATTCTAGTGAATGTGTATATAGAGTTTAAAAACACAATGGAGTACTTCCTGTATTACCACGTGTCATCACAAGATGGAACAGTGTTTTCTGTGTGAGAAGAACTCAGCCTAAATATGCAGTTTGTGTGATAAATGTGTGAATGAAACAAAACACAACTCCAGCTATGTTTTTGATGAGTAAACAACATTACAATATAGAGAGATCAGAGAACAGAGTCATATGGGCTCTGTAAACAAAAAATTTAACATGCAGTTCTCCAAAGTTGCGCTAGATGTCACTAAGACATTCGCAAACAAATTCCCTCTCATCAGTTTATTATCTGTATATAACTCTTAATGAGGATGCACAAACCACAGAACGCGTGCAAGTAATTTAATACAAAGCAAAGAATTGATAAATATCGTTGTTTAGATATCGTTGTGTGTGTGTGTGTTGTGTGAATTCCTAGTAAGTCTGTACCATAGACTGGTCTGTTTGACTAATTTCACGCAAGATGTCACTAAAGTTGTACACACGAATTGCACCGTCTACTGTAATAGTTACTGTAATACTGTAATCCTTCGTGGGATCCGAATCATTTGGGCCGGTACATGTCAAAGAGCAGTTGAAAAGACTGTCTCTTTTCATATTTAATTATATAACATAAGACCGATGTGTGAACTCATGTAACTACAAACTAATAACAAAAAGAAACGACCAAGGCTCAGATTTTTTTTTTTTTTTTTTTGTAAATGATGCAAACTGAGATCGCGTTTACCCTTTTACATTCTAAATCATAAAAACGGAAAATATTATATTATTTTCAAAAATGAGATCCGAGTCGACTCGTTCACGAACATCACTTAAGTAAATTCAACCAATTAAAGGTTTTTGTTACCTTTGTTTGCCCATAAATCACGTGTAATTATTGAATCGCTTCACAAAAATACCCTCAAGCCAAAACGAAACTGTAAACTGTAGGTTTGGCTCATAGACTCGTTATGGTTAGACTATAAAGTTTAAAATTAGCCTACATTTAGTTAACAGGAAGTTCGTGTTGTGCTCTTTGTGTTAAGTAACAAGAGGAAGTTTTTAAGCGTGCTTAGTTTACTTCAGTTCTTTGTATGTAAACTCAATACAATGGACGTCTTTCAAGAGGCTGTGGATTACCTGGAGGCTCGGCACGTGCCAAGTAAGATAATAATAACTTCATCTATTACACAGAGTACAATATATGTTCCCCTTTTATTGCCTTTTATTGTAGTAATAGTTTTCAAAAGTTAAAGGTGCTAAATGTACTTGAGCTTTAAGACTGATATTTCACCAACAACATATCTGGAATTGTGTTTTGTTTCATTCATGTACGTTTGAGTAATCCTTTATTATTAGTCTGTCTACATCTCCAAATATCAATATGCTCTGTTCCACCTTGTGATATCATGAAGTGGCAAGTTAACAGCTGCCTTTTACCTTCTATTTAGCAAAGATGGGCAATTCCAGGGTTGAAACTACTCAAGTGATTTTAGTGAAGGTGTATGGAGTTTAAAAACACAGTGGAGCACTTCTTGTATTGCATCACAAGGTGGAACCTTGCTCTTTGTAGATATGTGAAGAAATCAGCCTAAATATGCACAATTTGTGTGTTAAATATGTGTGAATAAAAAAAACCAAAAAAACAACTCAGAGTATGTTTGTGATGAGGAAAAAACATTATTACGTAGATCAGAAAACAGTATAATATGGGCTGTTTAGATTCTGTTGTATTTTTCTTACAGTTACATGACATGATATATAGTAACTTTGCCTTTAAACGTGTGTTCCTAGTTGTAATGGAAGCAGAGCCTGAGGTTTTGGAAGAAGACGTTTTCCACGAAGAAGGAGCTCCCTTGTTCTCTCCACTTGTCACTACAATGACCCTTCCAGACACCCCAGTGAGTAAATACTGTATACCAATGGTGGAAGAAATACTCAGTTTTATTACTTAAGTAAATATACAGATATGAGAGCAAAGAAACACTCAAGTAAAAGTATCACATGAAAAAAGGCACTTAAAAAAGTAAAAGTATTAAAGTATCTGTTTCAAAATGTACTTAAAGAATATAAAGTTAAAGTATTTCACACAGATTTTGAGATCTAATGAGGATTCAAATGTTGCGATGTTGATAGAGATTTGTGTTGAATTTCATTAAACAGAAACAACTGAATCGATTGTTTTTTGTAGTTGTTTTATTTGTTTTTTTTTTGTTTTTTTTGTTTGTTTGTTTACTCAAATTACGGACTTGTAAAAATGAACCTTTCAGCCTTTTCAGCAGGTCTCAAAAAAAACTTTTACTTTTCAGTCCAGTTCAAAAATGTAGTAGAGTAGAAAGTACAGATACCTGCTCTCAAATGTAGTGAAGTAAAGGTTGAAAGTATTCCTTTTAAAATCTACTTAAGTAAAGTACAGCTACCTAAAATATATACTTAAGTACAGTACGTAACTACTTATACTTTGTTACATTTCACCAGTGAAATATACCAAATGTTATCTTCATAAACACTGCAACAACAATAAATTTTTTATAATTTTATTCCAGACTTTGTTAACTGAAAAGGAAATGTTGGAGAGAAGGCTGGTGGTCCTTAAAGGCATCTTGGAGAGCGAGGAGGTCTATCTCAATGAACTGGAGACTCTGCTAACGGTGCATTCACTGTCTATAAACCTTTACCGTTAACCCAGTTTCTGCTTTTGTGACAGCCTGCCCAACATTGGAGAGATGTGGCTGTTATGTTCCACTTCCGTTTTAAACCACTATCACTTATCTTCAGCCTTTTGGTCAAATACAATGTCCTCTCTTGCATATATTACCCTATTTTCTCCTCTATGTTATAATGTTGTTTCCTAATCACAAACATACCTTGATTTGTGTTTACTTCACACATGTTTAACACACAAATCCTACATATTTAGACTGAGTTCTTCTCTCAAACTGAAAACACTTGTGATATCTTTTGGCTCCACTGTAATTTTGATCTCCATACACCTTCACTAGAATCATTTGGATGATTTCAGCACTGGAATTGCCTATTTCTACTGAACAAAAGATAAAAGTAGCTGTGAACTTGAAAACTACTACTTCATGACATCACAAAGTGGAATAGAGCATTTTGAGTTTTGGAGCTGTACATAGACTAATAAGGAAGGAATACTCAAACATGCGTGAATGAAACAAAACACAACTCCAAATATGTTTTTGAGAAGGTAACATCATTATAACAAGGCTTAAAGCTCACAATTTTGTGTAAGATAGAACCCTCAAAACTGACAGAAAACATAGCCAAACTGAAACACAAAAACGTGTAAAGTGGTTATGTCTGAGCTTTACTATCAAGAGGAAAACCCATCAGTATCATTTCCTCTTTCATTCATATTAAGATATATGAGAACATGAATTAGATCTGTTCTTGATTCATAATATTAGGCTTATATTTGATGTTTTAGTTTGATAAAAGTATTAACACTATTTTCTGATCTATGTTCTAATGTTGTTTCTGCATCACAAACATACCTGGAGTTGTGTTTTGTTTCATTCACACATCTTTAACACACAAATCCTACATATTTAGGCTGAGTTCTTCTCTCAAACAGAAAACACTCTGTTCCACCTTGTGATGTCATGTGGAAGTGCTCCATTGTGTTTTAAAACTCCATACATCTTTACTAGAATAATTTGGATAATTTCAGCCCTGGAATTGTCCATGTCTAGGGAACTAAAGGTAAAAGGTAAATGTTAACTTGAAAACTACTACTTCATGACTGAGGAACCATAGACTGCATAAATAAATGGATGTAGCTAACCCCCTCGCTTGCGTTCCAAATAGGAAGTGACCATGGGGGTGCTTCCGGCTTTATCAACTGCTTCTGATTGACTTTACAATGAAAATTTGTCACCGTTCTCTCTATAACTGCTGCAGTGAGCCACGCCATTTTGGTCTTAAAATGTTTGTATTAATCCGCTCTGCCTGATCCTGGTAATTTTATTTAGCTGTTTTGTCCATCTTCAGCTTCATTTGACTGGAGCCGAACGCTATGGGTGCCATCACACTCCCTTAGTTCACTTCTTTATACAGTCTATTGGTGAAACAGAGCTTAAACATGCGTGAATGAAACAAAACACATCTCTGGGTATGTTTTTGATGAGCTAACAGCATTATAACATGTCTTAACGCTCACAAGAGTCAATTTTGTGTAACATAAGACCTTTAACTCTCATATTTACAGCCAATGAAGGCCCTCCGAGCATCTGCAGGCACCTCCCAGCCGGTTCTGTCCGCTCAGCAGGTCCAGACTGTTTTCTACCAGGTCCCAGAGCTCAAACAGCTCCACCACGACTTCTACTGTGGCCTCAAAGCTCGTCTCACCGCTCACTGTGATCAGGAACAAGAACAGGAACCAGCGCCAGACCTAAAGTACAGCTCTGACCCCGAAACAGAAACCAAACACAAGGGCTTTGAGCTGACCGTCGGCGACCTCTTTCTCAAACTCGTAAGCTTGTTTTTGTATTGTGCAAAAACATATCTGTTATCACATCTGTCATAAGGTCCAAGCAAAACAATAGGTGTAATAGAAAGTAATGAGCCATGGGAAACCTCCTCTGTGTTCATTCATCATTTTGATCACTTCTACTAGTTTATAAAAGGTTTAAGACAGGATATAAGGCTGTTGCTTCATAAAAAAACATACCTGGAGTTGTGTTTTGTTTCATTCACATGTTTCAATAATCATTTGTCTGTTTACATCTTCAAAGCTCAAAATGCTCTGTTCCACCTTGAGATGTCAGTAAGGGGTAAATTTCAACCTACCGTTTACATTTTGATTAGAGGAAATTGGCCATTCTAGAGTTGAAGTCATCCTAATGATTCTAATGAGTGTCCGTTTTTGAGAAGAACTAAGCAGCATTTGTGTGTTAAACATGCGTGAATGAAACAAAACTCCAGGTATGTTTGTGATGAGGAAACAACATTATAACATAAATCAGAAAATAGTGTAATATTGGCCCTTTAAGAATAAATAAACATTACAATTGTTATCATTACAATTGAAATTTTAATAAAACTACATACATCTCATCCAGAAACTTTTGTTTGTTTGTTTGTTTTGTTTTAGGTGAATCAGATTGGATTATATGGAGGTTACATTGAAAACTATGTAGATGCTGTAAATGTGGTCCAAAAATGCACACAAGCCGACCCCCGCTTCAAAACTCTGGCTGAGGTACCTCTTTGTGTTTAGTCTTTTTTTACTCCATTCATTGATATACTGTACCAGTCAAAATTTTGGACACACCCTCTCATTCAGTGCTGTTTAAAATGTACTTTTACTACTTTCTACATTTGATACAGAAGACATCAATTTTATGATGCAAGATATATGTAATTATGTAGAAAAAAAGGAAGATATATTATTCTGAAATCCTCAAAATAGCCACTCTTTGCTTTGTTGAAAAATATTCCTGTTGAGTAATTTTACTTCTTTACTACACAAGTCTATATATCTTGCTGCTTATATTTGATGCTTTCTGTATGCATGTAAAAAAAATAAATACACAAATAAACATTCAAGGAGGTGGTGTGTCCAAAGTTTTTGACTGGTAGTGTGTAAACAACACTGGTCAAAAGTTTGAACACACCCTCCCATTCAGTATGATTTTTAAAGGTGCACTATAACGTTTTGGTTGGGGGTCTGTGACTTGTTTCTATGGAAATGTCATTGCTCTGCCTGGAATGTTCCACAGTATGACATTAAACAGCTCTGCCTTACATTTATTCAATTGCAATTGGTTTTATAGCTCAAAAATACCTAAAAAGACAGGTATTCTGACTGTGGGCGAGGTTGCCTCCCCATAGATCGGACTTGTGACTTGGTGTCTGGTTTGGTTTGATAGAAAGATTTAATACCATATTGTGAACATTCCAGATAAAGCAATAACATCTTCTTGAACAACAGAATTTGACGAACCCTCCATCAGAAAAGTTACACAATGCGCCTTTAATAAATTTCTATCTATCTAACGAATTATAGTTGTTTACCTTTTTTTCTTTATACATACTTCCATATGTCTTACTCCATATATTTATTTATGTATATAAAATGTAGAAACTAGAAAAAATAAAGGGAAAAAAACACAGAATGAGAGTGAGACCAAACTTTTGACTGGTAGTGTATTCTAACCATAATAATTTCATTCTTTATAGAGCATGATGTCAAATAACAATGGTTCGCCCAAATCTCGCACTAAATATACTTTTGAAGGTATATTTGTTGTTTATTTAATTTTTTTTCTGTGAGAATTTCCTGCAAATCTGAATCCTGTTTTCTATTTCAGCTCTGTTGTACAAACCTTTGGACAGAGTCACCAAGACCACTCTGGTGTTGCGTGTGAGACATTTTCATACACTTATTATAACACATGTCCTTAAGACTATTTTATATTGATACTTTGCAGCTGATGTCATTAACATTCCCTCTGGGGTGTGATGCTAACTGTAGGCACTGCTCTGTCTGAAGCTCTGTTGCTCAAGTTAGACTTAATCTGAGCTGTATTTTAACACAGTCTGACCAGAAACAGAAGACTTAGCTGAAACTACAACAGGTGAAATGATTTGTTAAACCAGCTAGCATTAGCCAATAGTTTTTCAGTTAGTCACTCTCACCTTTTTGTTGAAAATCAAACAGGACCATTAAATGCTCATATTGATCACAGGCTCCTGAAAATGTGTTTTTTTAAAATCCATTTTACATGTTGTGTTTTCAAACAATTTTAAAGGTGCATTGTGTAACTTTTTTGATGGAGGGTATGTCACCTGCTTGTTCCTATGGAGTTGTTGTTGCTCTGCCTGGAATGTTCCACATTAAACAGATCTACCTTATATTTATTTAACTACAGGTGGTTTTATAGCTCAAAAATATCTAAAAAAAAAAAAAAAAAATGACTGTAAGTGAGGTCGCCTCTCCACAGATCTGACCTGTAACTTGGTCAGGTTTGGTCTCCATGAAGAGGGTTCATGAAGGTTTAATGCCATACTGTAAAACATGCCAGACGAAGTGATAACATTTCCACGGAGAAAAGCGTTACACACTCCACCAGAAAAGTTACACAATGTGCCTTTAAAGCTGTTTGACTGTGTTTGCTATTGTGTGCATTGTGTCACCAAGGTAACTGCTGAACATTCCATCAGTAGACATACATGAGGAACACCCCCAGCATGGCCACTGCAAAGTATCAATAGACCAGAAATCATAGTCTCTTATTACTAACTATTCACTGACTTATATCAAATTGTAAACACATATTTGAATCTTCTGCGTAGGATCTTTTAAAAACCACACCTGAGGAGCACCAGGACCACCCCTCCCTCCAGGAAGCCCTCAGACTCTCACAAAGCTTCTTGTCAGGGGTGAATGAGAGTTCACAGAGCAGACGAGGCGTGACGCTCACTCATGAAAAGGTAAGGATCAATAGTCCTTACCCAGAATGCATCACAACTTAGCAAAGGTTGTTGTTGGTGGCGGTAGTGGTGGTTACATTTACAACTGTAGTTTCTAGACATCATACTTTTATTAATGCTAATATACTACTTACGATACTAATTGCAGTGGTGGAAGAAGTGTTCGATTTGGTTACTTAAGTAAAAGTACTGATACTGCAGCCAAAAAAGTAAAAGTATCACATTGAAAAATCTATTTAAGTAAAAGTATTAAAGTACAAAAAAAATTAGTTATTAAAGAATAAAAAGTAAAGTATTTTGCTCAGATTTTGAGATCTAATAAAGCTTCAAATTTTGTGATTTTGATACATATTTGTACTGAATTTTGTTCAACAGAAACAACTTTGTGTATTTATTTGTATTTTTGCTCAAAATGTTAAAACATGTTAAAATAAACCACTTAGACTTTTCAGCAGGTCTCAAACAATAATAAGAAATGCTTTTACTTTTTAGTCCGGTTCAAAAATGCAGTGGAGTGGAAAGAACAGATACTTGCTCTCATATGTAGTAAAAGTGAAAAATATCAATTTTAAAATGTACTTAAATAAAGTACAGATACCTAAAATGTATACTCAAGTACAGTACTTTACTTTGTTACTTTCCACCACTTCAGCTTTGGTGGTGGAAACATTAATTAATACAACTGGAGTTTCTAGACACCATACTTTCACTAATACTAATGCACTAATATATTTCACGGTGTAATAGAAATTATATTTGAGCTTGGGTTACTTCTGAGTTAATTTGCAAGTGACCAAAGATATGATGCTCTTTCAGATATGAATTTTTGAGGTCTATGATTTAGAAACATCAGATAATATGAACATGAAATGAAATCAGATAATTTGTGTAATCTTGAACCACTATTTTGCACTTTTACTTGAGAAATATTACTACTAGTTGACTAATAAATTGTACTTTGTATTAGAACTTATATTTAAGTTTGGGTTATCTCTTCAAAAGCTTCATGTTACAATATTATCATAACTTCTTGCACCACTTTTTCAGATATAAATATATATATATTTTTTCTTATTTGAGGTCTATAATTTAGAAGCACTGGAAACATCAGATTATATTAACTTGAAATTACAGAACAGATTACGTGCATACTCTTTAACCGCTATTTACATACTTCTACTTCAGAAATATTGCTACTTGATTAATATATTTCACTGTGTAGTAATATCTTTGTTATAGTTATATTTAAGTTTGGGTTACTTACTGTACTTACTGTGTGTCTAAATCTGCAAGTGACAAAAGTTTTATGCTGACAGTTTTAATTTCTTACACGTAATACGCTTCTTCAAATATTTTCAGATATTATTATTTTTTCTCTCATTTGAAGTCTGTCCTTTGGAAACATTAGATAACATTAAGATGGAATAGAATCAGATAACTTATGTAATCTTGAACTTCTGTTTTGTGGTTTGACTTGAGAAATACTACTACTACTACTTGACTAATATATTTTACTGTGTATTAGAACTTATATTTGAGTTTTGGTTACTTCTCCCACTGTAAATTCTGAAATCTATCATTTGAAAACATCAGATTATATTAACTTGAAATTGAATCTTAAACCACTATTATATACTTTTACTTATTATTTTGAAGTAGTGGGTGGTACTGAATTACATTTTTACACCAAAGTTGTTGTTTTTGTATTAACTAAATGCTGTTATCTTATCAAAAACATATGTAGAGTTGTGTTCTGTGTCACTCATGCATGTTCAGTATCTGCAGCTGAACGGAAAAGTACCACAGCCACAAAAGTTCCCCCAAAAAATATTATATTCAGTTACTACTATCTGTAAAAATTTTGTGCGTTAACTGTAGAGACGGCAGCTGATTCGCGATGGTTTTCTGGTGGATGAGAGCGACGGGGAGCTATGTCTGCGTCACCTTTTCCTGTACACAGACCTCCTGCTGTGCACCAGAGTAAAACCAGCAACCAGAGGGTAATCATAGCAATGGGCACTAGCAAAATACAAAACACTGCTCTTATGAAGCAAGCATGTTTGATATTTCCTTCTCTGATTAGTGATAAATACATGTAAAGCTAACTGTGTAACAAAAATGGGGCTGTTGCAGTTTTACACTTTAACCCCTTAACGCTGACTATCACTACTATCTAAATATGTGACAAACCATTTGATCAAGATATAAGCCGAGATAGAGGCCGGTTAGAGCATATGCAGGACCTTCCTAGGAACCTTTGACAAGCACTTATTTCTAGTTGTTGCAAATTTGCAACACACCCAAATTTCTATTTATGTTTTTTGTGATCTATGTTATAATGTTGTTTCCTCATCACAAATATACCTGGAGTTTTGTTACATTCACACATGTTTAACACACAAACCCTGTTCCTCTTTGAGAATACTTAAATGTGTGAATGAAACAAAACAACTCTGGGTACGTTTTTGATGAAGTAACAACATTCAAACATGACTTAAAGCTCACAAGACTCCACTTTGTGTAATACAGGATCCATAAAGTGAAAGTGAAATTCTAAGCATTAAGAAAACAGTTCTCTGATTTAATTATGTAACAGAATACGTTACAAAATACTTAACATAACATAATAAGCTACTGCATGTAGCTTACTATGTTATTACTTCTTCAGGAAACAGGATCAATACAGATTTGCTTGGTATCTTCCCCTCGCTGGACTCAGACTGCGTTGCTTTTCACATGAGCGGACTCCAGAGGCCCAACTTCGCTTACACACCATCAGAACCAAAATGTACCAGCTCCATAAACAGCTACAGCAACACGTGGTATGTGTGTGTGACTTAATATCAGAACCCAAGATGGAAGATCATTCTTTTCATCACATTTTGAATTTCATATGCAGTTTTGAATATCTCATTTTTAATTTTTTAACTCTGAAAATCATGCTTGAATTGGTTTTGTTATGGTTTAGTTAACCAAATCAACTGGACTTATTTGCTTTTGTAGTTGGTATTATCTTATCCCTGGATGTCTCATAATCTGCATCAGTGACTTGTTTTTATTCTGAATTTTAAGTATATATTTTCAATGTGTTTAAAAAAAAAAAAAAAAAACACCTTTTAAATATTCAGCACAAATATTTCCGGGACCTCAAATTCAACAGTCATAATTTAGTCCATAACATTTGCAGTGAATAGATCAAGATTTTCCAGCAAAGATCCAAGAAATTGCTCCTAAATGAGTTGATGTAACTTATTAACAACCAGGAAATGCTGTAGGGAACCAATCTGGTCAGTATTAGCCTAATCAGAACATGTCATCTCTTTGATTCCTTAACTGTAAGCCCTGCCCACAGAAGAGAATGGTCAATAGTTAACAGCCTGTCTCTGTGCTCCTTAGTCACACACATAGACTGTATATATAAATGAACATAGCTAACCATAGGACATAGCCACTGCGTTCCAAATAGGAAGTGAACATGGGGGCTCTTCCGGCTCCACTGACTATGGCTCCAATTGAGAATATCACCCCTCTCTCTGTAGCTGCTGCAGTGAGCCTCATCATTTTGGTCTGAAAATGTTCATATTAACCCACTCCACATGATCTTGGTGTTTTTATTTTACTATTTTGTCCATAAATCCCTGTTCCTCAGGTGGAACTCATCTCCAAATTCTCTTCTATAACTGCTAGCCTCATGAGCTTCATTTGACTTGAGCTGAACGCTAAGGGTGACATCACAGGGCCTTGGTCCATTGTTTATCCTGTAGCATCTTGGGTCTTTGCTGCAGATTATTTCACTGCAAATTTTACACACTTTTACACAATTTTAGATTTTAAAATATTTGAAGTCAAATTTTTATCAGAGTTTAAAAATGAAAATGAATGAATGAAAATCTGATGACAAATTATATTCTATAAACCAACCTATTTCTTTACGTATTTATATTATATTGTACAATTGTGATGATACAGAAGGGATACAGGGTTCGCAGCTGGAAGAAACCTGAGCAGACGGAGCTACTGTTACTCACACTGTCTCCTGTGTACAGACTGGAACTGCACAGTCCCAATGGGAAGGTGAGAGCGTCTTACTACAGTGTTATTCTTGTATTTAAAAGTGCATAGTTTCCACTTTTCTGGTGGAGGGCCTGTCAGATGCTTTTCTTCATGGAGATGTTATTGCTTTGTCTGGAATGTTTCAAAGTATAGGCCAAATCTGTGGAGAGGCGAACCCGCTCACAGTCAGAATGCCTGTTTTTCTAGGTATTTTTGAGCAGTAAAACTACTTGTAATTGAATTAATGTAAGGGAGAGCTGTATAAAAGTCATACTGTGGAACATTCCAGGCAGAGCAATGACATATCCATAGAAACAAGCAGGTGACAGACCCCCAACCAAAAAGTGACGGAGTGCCCCATTAAACTAAAGCTGACCTCTGTCCATTCTAGAGCCACACGCTGCTGTCTTCACTGTATGAGCTTGAAAAATGGAAGGAGGCCATTTGCAAACTTACCAAAGAAAGTAAGAGAGCCCATGCAAAAATGAAGATATATATATATATATATATATTCATGTGGAATGATTAAAGAGCCTACATTTATGTTATTTTCTGACCTGTTATAATGTTATTTCCTCATCAACAACATACGTAGAGTTGTGGTTTGTTTCATTCACACATGTTTAACACATAAAACCTATATACTTCAGCTGAGTATTGCTCTCAAACTGAAAACACTCTGTTCCATCTTGTAATGTCATGTGGTAATACTGGAAGTGCTCCACTGTGTTTTTAAACCGCATACTCCTTCATTAGAAACATTCAATTTAGCTGTGCAAAGATAGGAGTGTTCATCAGTTAGCATAAGAGTTTGAATTAAAAAAAAAAAAGATTTAAACAACACATTTTCAGGAGCCTATGATAGATATGAGCATTCATGGTCCTGCTTAGATGTTTGTTTGTTTTGTTTTTCACCTGTTTTTCTAACCAAATCAGCTCTTTCTGGTCAGATTGTGTTAAAACAAAACTCAGATTAAAGTCTAACTTGTAATAAAGCTTCAGAGAGTGCATCAGTTTGTCCTAACTGTATTTCCTTGTGTGTTTGCAGACATAGAGCCAGTCCCTCCTGATCTGCTCACGCTCACCAGTGCCTGTTTGAAACTGAGAATGACCCAGACCCCGCCCCTCCATAGCAGCAGCAGTAGCTTCGGTAACACTGCTATATATCAGACACCGTCATATCCTGTTTTAATGCTGTGATAATTTTTATGTCATTATTACTCCAGAGACTGTATTTATAAATAGGTGTAGACAACCTGTTAACCACCAAGTTTCAAATAGGAAATGAGCATTGGGGCACTTCTGGCTCTCGCTCCACTTGACTTTACATGTAAAAATTCTCTACACTACTACAATTTTGGTTTTAAAATGTTTGTATTAACATGCTCTACATGATTCTGGTGTTTTTATTTTGCTCTTTTGTCCATAATAATAATAATAATATAGACCTGGGTCCAAATTTGCCTTTATAACTGCTAACATCGGGAGCTTTATTTGACCTGAGCCCTTAGTCCACTTCGTTTATACAGTCTAATACTAACATTTGACTTCAATACTAAGGAAAATACTTGATACTCAGTACTGATTTTTATACCACAGTAATAATAAATACACTTTTTATTTAGACAATAGAATGTGATTTTCAACTTTAAATCATAACTATAGGTGAACAAACAGAAGTTGGTACAGAGATGAATGTAATCTGTACAATTTGAGTCCAAGATTGATTGAAGAAGTGAGACTTTGATGATTGAAATGAAATAATAGTACTTTCTTTTATATTACCATGTGGTCTTATATCTGTGTAATCCCTCAGGTCCAGGTTGGTTCCATAGTGGTCCATGGGCGTAAACTAGTCTATACAATTTTATACTTGTTCTGAAACAGCTCAAGATCATTCTAAACTTATTCGTTCCTGTCCTGTGAATGTGACTTTTTTGTATCGATATCTGCTCAAATGAGTATCTAGTTTCGATATTAGTTTTAGAATTGTTTAGTATCTGATTTTCAGTTCTTTTGACAACCTTAGCTCATACAAATCTGTTGATCTGAATCCTGTTTTTATAATCAGCACAAAAGATGGAAGGGCTATGTGGGACTTTGGCTGTGGTCATCCATTCTGCCAGTGGTCTGCAACAACCAGCCTGTATGTTTTTATATTTTATTTTATCAGTCTTAAAGTATGTTTGTGTGTTTAACAAAGCTGGAAAGTACATTTTTGTTTTGCATTTTAGGTGTGTCCGTTTGTGTGGAGGTGGATGGATTTGATTTTTATGAAAAGCAAGCACAGACGCACTCGGTCCACGCTCTGAATCCACAGTGGGAACAGGTAAATAAAGAGTTTGCAGGGGAAAAACTCTTTAAACAAGACATTTTTAGTCAAAGTACATTAGATAACCTTTGAATAAACCCTCCTAGCACAATACAGCTAAAGTTAGTGAGTAGGCTGCACAATATTGTGTACAGCATATCAATTGTACAATTTGTAGTGTTTTTCATATCCTAAAACTGCACATTGGCTGAACATATAACACACAGTAGGTACAAAAATACATTTGAGCTATATGTAACATTTCTTCTGGAGGCTTTGCTACCTGCTGATCTCCATGGAGATGATTTTTTTTTTATCTCGAATGTTCCACAGGATGCGATTTGAGTATTTTTAACAATAAACATAATTGTAATCGAACAAATGCAAGGTAGATATTTTTAAAACTGTGGAACATTCCAGGAAAACCAATAATATTTCCATGGAGAAAAGCAGGAGGTAGACCCTCCACCAGAAAAGTTACATTGTGCACCTTTAAAGAGGACCATATTAAGCTATTTTCTGATCTATCCTCATCACAAACATACCTGGAGTTGTGTTTCATTCACACATGTTTAACACACAAACCCTGCATATTTAGATTGAGTTCAGGCCTGGAATTTCCAATCTCTGCTAAAAATTATTCAAATGTAGCTGTTAATATGAAGACTGCTGCTTCATGACATCACAATGTGGAACAGACCCTTTTGAGCTTTGGAAATGTAGACAGACTAAGAACAGGGTTACTGAAACACGTGTGAAAGAAATAAAACACTACTCCAGTTATGTTTGTGAGGAAACAACATTATAACAGAGATCAGAAAACAGCGTAACATGGGCCCTTTAAGCTCTGCTAATGTGTGGTCTGTGGACTTTGGCACATGACACTAAATTGTCTAGACAACATCTTATCTGTGCTCATTTTAACACAGTGTAAATCCTTTGAACACCACTGGCAGTGATACCATCTGCCCTAAATCCATCTGGTAGCTCCAATGGAAACAGCACATGGATCACAGTGGCCTCTCCTCTGTGTTTTGAGCAGGAGCTGTACTTCCAGGTGGACGGAGCCAGACACATGAGGGTGATATGTGTACGACAGTTGGACGGACAGGACTGGGCTGTGCTGGGGAAGACCTCTATCACGGTAGAAAAAGATAGATAAATGATACTTTGCAGCTGATGTCGTCAATATTCTCTGGGGGTGTGGTGCTAACTGTAGGCACTGCTATGTCAGTTTTCGGACTATCTTAAATGTATTTGTAAGTGTTTGCTGATAATGTTAGGTTCATTTACATGAAGTGGAAGGACTGGAAATACAGTGAATAAAATTGTTGCTTAATTTTAGTTTTAAGACTATTAATATTTTCAATGAGGGGAAGAGCAAATTTTTTTCTGGATTTTCATGATAAATATTCAAACCAGATCATATATAAATTACACAAATGTAGTATGTAAATGTCAAAAGAGACTCATTCTTAAAGAGGGGGTATTTTACTTTTATGGGGTATTAACTTAGCCAGGCTGGCACCATAGTACCTCCGCTCAATTTAATTTCTTTCCAGTGGCTAGGTCAGGAACCGGAATACACTAGATGGTTCACAAAAAGTGTGAGTTCAGGCACCAGCCAATCCCTAGATCAAGGATTTAAAGCCGGAACAAAGAGAATGTTTGAATTTTATCAAGGGGAGAGATAGTTATTGTCCTTCTTCCTATGGGATTTGGGAAAAGCTTTGTATACCAGTTAGCCCTGTTAGCAGTGCATTACATACGTCACGACCAAATAGCAGCGATTAGTTAAATGAAAAAAATTACCCGTCTACCGTTGAGTGAACGAATTCTAATGCTGCAAGGTCAGACGGTTTCTACAAAGTGAAACCAGCTGGTGAATCAGACTAAATCATCATGTTACTTTTTATAGTTTGAAAATGCTATATTCATCCAAAACATTATTGACATGTTTCATAAGTTTCCCTTCTGTTTATGATGCTATGAGTCTCCACTCCCTTTTCTCCCTGCGTTAAGTCACTCTCCCTTCAGAGCGCTTTCACAACACAATCTGCGTGAAACTATTGCACATGGCATCAGGTTTGTCAAGTTGTTGTGTACAGTTTTGTGTCACGTTTTCGTGTATTTATGGAGAATTGTTCTGTGGGAACATGGGTGACGTAGGCTTGTGGGGGGAGCATTGGACAGAATCTTACAGCTAACCATAAGGAGGGTTTGAATAGGGCCCAGAAGAGATCGCAAAATTACGAGAGAAGATGCACAGATGACATGTTTTTGACATCCAGACATGTTTTTGATGTTATAACATGATAGAAAACTATTTTGCATTATACGGTGCAGTGTGTAACTTTTCTAGTGCAGGGTCCGCCACCTGCTTTTCTGGAATGTTTCACAGTATGGCATTAAACCTTTCTATCATTATGGAGACCAAACCAGGCTAAGTTATAGGTCAGATCTGTGGAGAGGCACAGTCAGAATGCCTGTTTTTCTAGGTATTTTTGAGCTATAAATCCACCTGTAATTGAATAAATGCAAAGTAGATCTGTTTAATGTCATATTGTGGAACATCTGAATCAGAGCAATGACATATCCATAGAAACAAGACCCCCAACCAAAAAGTTACCTAGTGCATCTTTAATCTCTAAATCATAGCAGGCCTATACTGATTTTGATAATAAATTTCATATCAACTTGTGTTTTCAGCTGGACCCTAAAAGTCTCAGTAATCGATGGAGAAAACAGTCTCTAAATCTTGGCGAAGTTGACGTGAACCTGTCCCTGAAATACACAAATCACCCTCCGGACCCCCCCAGCCCCTCTTCACAGCAGCAGCAGCCTGTTTTTGGTGTTCCCATAGAAACTGTCGCCCAGTAAGTCAAGACGTTTTACTGACTACTTCCTCTTAAAACAGTTATACGGTAATAGCAAGTTTCAGAAGTTTCAAAATAGTATTAATGTGGTTTCAGTTCAGTTTGGGGTTTTTTATTTTCATTTTCTCGGCAGACAGGAGGGCGTGCTCGTTCCTCACGTAATCCGATGCTGCGTCGAGGAAGTAGAAAGACGAGGAATGGACGAGGTTGGGATCTACAGGGTTTCAGGAACCACCGGTGACATCAATACACTAAAGACTGCATTTAACTGTAGTAAGTTACACAGACCCTTTAAAAATACTGTAAGGGTATTCAAAGTTACAGAAAGAGGGAACATGAGGTTGACCATAAAGCATTTTCTATATTAACTTACATCAGATCTAAATGTTAAAGGACCCATTTTTGAGGCGCACTGTGTAACGTTTCTGGTGGAAGGTTTGTCAAATGCCTTTCTTTGTTCATGGAGACCAAACTAGACCAAGTTACAGGTCAGATCTGTGCAGAGGCAACTCCGAGCACAGTCAGAATGCCTATTTTTCTATGTATTTTTGAGCTATAAACCACCTGTCACTGAATAAATGTAAAGTAGAGCTCTTTAATGTCACACTGTGGAACATTCCAAACAGAGCAATGATATATCCATAAAAACAAGCATGTGATGGACGCCCAACCAAAAAGTTACATAATGCACCTTTAAGTTATTTTCTGATGTATGGTATGTTATAATGTTGTTTCCTCAATCACAATTTCTCCATTGAAATCCCATTATGTTCCACTTCACTTTTGCCTCCAGTTTCCTTTATTCATTCTTTTGATTTATTCTTTTGTTTCTGAAAAGGCTTATTGATCCTTTGCAGCTGATTTTGTCAACACTGATGCTAAATGAAAGCACTGCTCTGTTAGAAGCTCTACTACTACTACTGTTACTCAAGTTAGAGTTTAATCAGATCTTTATTTTCACACAATCTGACCAGAAAGAACTGATTTATCTGGAACAGGTGAAATGATTCATGCTGTTAAAGAAGTCCCTTTTTTGCTGAAATTCAAACAGAACCACGAACGCAGGTATTGATCACAGGCTCCTGAAAATGTGCTGTTTTTTTCTTGATTTTTCAGACTATCTTAGACCTTTTTTGGCAGCGTTTGCTAATGTGTGCATTGTGTCTCTGCCGTAACTGATAACATTCCGCCATAGAGATACATGTAGTTTCTCAAGTATCAGTTATTGTTCTTTGTGTGTTTTTGTTCATGTTTGTGTGTTTTGGTCAGATTTATGTGAAGCTGTCACTCGGCTCAGAGGTGCAGAGGTGAACGCCGTGTGTGGAGTGCTCAAACTCTACTTCAGAGAGCTGCCAGAGCCCCTGATCCCCGCCGAACTGTTCCAGAGTTTGGCCCAAGCTCTTGGTAAGATTTATAATGAAACAAAGACTCTGTTGTGTGTACTTGTGTAGGGGCAGGTGATGACAGAAGGGAGTATTTGTTCTGTTTTGTTTTTATCCAGATTATTATGAACAGTTATGAGATACGATTTTGGCAGTCCATTAGAAATGTGTTTAAACTTGCCTTTAAATTTCTTGGTTGAGGTTCAGCTATTTCATAAAAAGGTAAAATAAGGTGCGTACTTAAACTGTATGAAGACGTGGACTGAGGGAGTATGACGTCATCCATCGCATTCAGCACCAGTCAAATGAAGCTCATAGATTCTAGCAGTTATAGGAGCGAAACTGGAGCTAAGATCTTTATGGGGAATAGGAATTTATTTTACATACAAAATAGCTAAACAAAAACACAGGATCACGTAGAGCGGGTTAATATGAACATTTTAAGACCAAAATGACAAAGCTCACTGCAGCAGTTAGAGAGAGAGGGGTGACAGTTTTTCAATGTAAAGTGAATTGGAGCTAGAGGTGATGGAGCTGGAAGCACCCCCATGAATGCTTCCTATTTGGAATGTTTTTACAGCCTATGGGAAGGTACACTATTGTCCTCTCCATTTGACCATCTCCATGATCTTGTTTCTAGGCTTGGTTAGGACTACTTTATCTTAATAAATATTAAATGGATGAACTACAAAATTAACCACAAATAAACTGCAGAAATATCTTTATACATAGCCTTGTTTATGTTTTTAGTATATATTTTTTAATTTGAATGTATTTATTCTAGGCAATATTTTAATAAATCGCCTACTTCTGCTTGTAGATTACATTTATAAAGTGTCATGAATATATTTTGATTACTCCATATTAAGATATTTCATTTATTCATACATTTTGATATGACATAGGTAGAGGTAGTGCTAGTTCTGTTACCTAGCAACAGTAATATAAACACGGGCCAAAACCTGTCAAAATTACGCAATAGTTATAAGTGGACAAATAAAAATAAATTACAACACCTTTATTTGTGAAGAAAGTTTTAATATGTCAGAGAAATTCTACTTGCATGTAAATTCTCAATGCTATTTTGATATTGTTGATAATTTAAATTTAGATTTCACCACTACTTGCTGTGTTTTTGTACTTTTCTTTTGAGCTTTTTTCTCACAAACTACCAATTCACTGATGTAAAACGATGATAATTATTTACCACAGATCCCACCAAACCAAGTCATAATTACATGAAAAAAACTAAACAAAAAAAACCCATGAAAACTCATTATGCACTGTGAGTCATGTTATAATATTGTTAACTCATCAAAAACATTCCTGGAGTTGTGTTTTGTTTCATTCACACATGTTTGAATCATCCTTTATTATTAGTCTGTCTACATCTCCAAAGCTCAAGATGCTCTGTTCCACCTTGTGATGTCATGTAGTGATACTTTTCAAGTTAAAAGCTACCATTTACCTTTAGTTTAGTAGAGACTGGCGATTCTAAAACTGAAATCATCCAAATAATTCTAGTGAAGGTGTATGCAGTATAAAAACACAGTGGAGCACTTTCTGTATTACCACATCACAGCACAAGGTGGAACAGAGTGTTTTCTGTTTCAGAGAAAACCACAGTCTAAATATGCAGGGTTTGGTTTGTTTAACACCTGATTCACAAGGGAAATGATTTGGACACAGTAGCTCACACGGCACACTTTGTTATTATAATAACAAAGAAACAAATATATGTGATAATAGATTCTAAATAAGTACAAAAATAGCAAGAGACTGGTGTCAAATAAGATACAATTATACTAATGCATAAATAAAATAAAATATAGAAATAAAGTGATACAAATATATCTCAGCTATTAACAAGAGATGGTAAAGAAAACAGAGAACAGATCAGGAAATAACATAATATGGACCCTTTACATAAATTTGCATTGTAATGACAGTGTTGCCTGTGTTTTCTTCACAGACTTAACTGACACAGATGCGCGCTCTTCTTCTCTGTTGTCTGCAATGAAGTCCTGTCCTGACACAAACCGCAACACCCTCCTCTTCCTCCTGCACCACCTCCGCAGGTCTGAGCCTCTTCACTGACGTTTTTAAAAATAAACCTGACCTCACTCATTGACTCGCTGTTGTTTTCGCAGAGTTTCTGAAAGGCAAGACGTCAACAAAATGTCTTTGTTAAACTTGGCTACAGTGTTTGGGCCAAGCCTCTTACGCCCTCCAGTGACAGGTGATGGGAGTGACGGTGCTGGAATAGACATCTCTCAAGAGGTGGTTGTGCAGGTTAGTGAATGTATTTATTTTTTATTTAAAGGCCCTATTTATGTTATGTTCTGAGCTATGTTATAATGTTGTTTCCTCAAATGACTGGTCTTGTCTGTAGATACTGTTGTTAAAATGGTGTTACCTCCTCAAAAACATAACTGGAGTTGTGTTTTATTTCTTTCACACATGTTTAACACACAAATCCTGCATATTTAGACTGAGTTCTTTCTAACAGTAAAACACTCTGTTCCACCTTCTGACTCCATTTATTAATACAGGAAGTGCACCACTGTGTTTTTAAACTCCATACACCTTCACTCACATTATTTGGATGATTTCAGCCCTGGGATCTCTATTGAACTAAAGTGAAAGGTAGCTGTTGATTTCAAAACTACCACAACTGACATCAAAAGGTGGAACAAAGCATTTTCAGCTTTAGAGATGTAGACTAGAGCTGGGCATCATTAACAAATTGCCAATACGATACGCATTTCGATACAGTGAGATTTCGATTCGATACGATTCGATATATTTCAAATCTGATATGGTTCATTCAAAAATATTCATGGCTGTGATTCTAAAAGTCTTTGTTAAACCACTTCTTGTGCAAAGTGAATATGAAACACAAACATTTTAAACATCAGAACAGTGAAAATGTCAAATGTGTTGCATAAATGAGTTTCCGAACTCTAAACAAGCAACAAAGCTGTAGTGCTGTGACAATAATTTAGTCAACTATACCAAAAAATACTGATACATCGACACAGCAGCCCATGATATCAATAATGCATGATCACATTAAACGATATGATATATATTTCAATATTTTTGCCCACCCCTAATGTAGACAGACTAATAATAAAGGATTACTCAACATGTGTGAATGAAACAAAACACAACTCCAGTTATGTTTTTGAGGAGGCATCAGCATTTTAACATGATAAAAAGCTCACCCGCTCACCCTGGTTCAGGAAGTAAATTTCTCTATTTTACTATGTAGTAACTAATGACAACATTTTGTTTCAAATCTATTTCTGTAACGTTATAAACTTAAAAGAACTGCGTTATGGAAATTAGTTACAACATAGGTGGTTATTCTCCATGATCCCTTTGAACTCTAAATATTGGATTTTTTGGAAAAGTCTATGAGAAAATCTATGGAAAATTTACTTCTGGAAACAGTGGGCAGGACTATTGAGTTCCATCCACAGCCTTGTCAACATATCACAGGCCACACTTTCAGCCATCGTTTAGTGGAAGTCTTTATATTTTATCTATTTTGTCTATACACATTTGGTGCACTGAATTTGAAAAAGCTGAGCAGATGTGAGACTTGATGCCCTGGCCCCGTTACAGTAACTGCTCTGTGTGTTTGTGTTTGTGTGTGTGTTTGCGTGTGTGTGCTCTGTGTGTGTGTAGGTCCAGGTGGTCTACTGGTACCTGCAGTGCAATGATCTCCCCCAGCCCCAAATCTCTCTACCCCACGACACAGACACTGAAGACGAGACCACCCACCTGTGAGACCACCAGCACTGTCATGGATGGAAAAAGTCCAGGCATGTGTAAGAAACTAAACTATGAACTACAAATGTATAGTTTTATTTACAAGCTCTGTTAGTGTTCAGATTTTATTACTGTTAAAACCTATTTAAAGGGTCCATATGTTTCCTCATCACAAACATACCTGGAGTTTTGTTTTGTTTTATTCACATATGTAAAAAGACAAATCCTGTATAGGCTGTGGTCTTCTATCAAAGGGAAACGCACTGTTCCACCTTGTGATGTCATGTGGTAATACAGGAAGTGCTCCTCTGTGTTTTTAAACTCCATACACCTTCACTAGAATCATTTAGATGATTTAAGATTTGGAATTGCCAATCTCGACTGAACTAAAGGTAAAAGTCATTTGGATACTTTCAACCTTGGAAATGCCCATCTGTACAACTACCACCACATGACATCACAGGGTGGAACAGAGCTTCGGAGATGTAGACAGACTAATAATAAAGAGTTAGTCAAACATGTGAATGAAACAAAACACAACTCCAGACATATATTTTTTATGAAGTAACAAGATTATAATATATCTTAAAGCTCACAAAGAGTAAAATTTGCATCATACAGGACCTTTAAAAACCCAGGGCTCTCCTTTGGGTAGAACGTTTAGCTGAATACAGTAATTTGATCAAATGATGAAGTACGATCGAAGATGTCAGAGCTGCAGATGTTGTAAAAAAGGTCAAAGGTTGACTCCCATAGCTTGAAATCCAATCAGTTCTGGTTCAGATCCAACTAGCTGGAGTTCAACACAAAATGTACGGGCCATAAAGTCATACGCCATGTTGGAAACCAAAACACACACACACACACCACCTGGGCACGCGGGGTTTGGGTTACCAATGACCTTTAACCCCCCAGAACCTCGCCTCTCCACTTTTTGATCGCTAATCCAAAGTCTAGCGCTAGTGCTAATATAACTCCAGTAGAAAAACGTGCTGTGTGGATGCCATAACACCAAGGACATGTGTTAAAAAGGGGTTAGGTCTCTCTTATCGTAAATCACTGGGGTTCAAATCTGTGCCTGTCAAAATGAGGTCCAGCTTAGTAACTACAAAGAAAAGAAGAGGTATTTCCATAGCAGACATGCATGGCCCAAGACTGAACCGGACTCAAGACTGGAGGCACCTGTTAGGGCCAGTGGGAAGCAGGTTATGTGTGGATATTGTTGTCTAACTTCATAGTAAATGTGTAAAACCTACGGAAAAAAATATTCAAGAAAAAGTACAAGGCCTGTCGTGATCAAACGTAAATAAATATAGATGATAAATTACAATATTGAAAGTTAACCATAAAGCAGAGTTATCCCCTAAAAAAACCCCTATCCCCTAAAAAATGAACAATGGAAAGTAGAGAAGTAGAAAGTCATAGTCATTGTCAAGTTGTCAAAATTTTAAAATTCACACTAGAGCAAAGAAAAGTCCCCACGTGAAATACTGAAATACCAAAAATGATAGTTCCATCTGTCATGTATTGAGCGGTAAGTTGATATAGACTAATACAGGACCAGTCAAATGTTTGGACACACTATCTCATTCAATGTTTTTGGTATTTTTACTTTGTGTATTTGATTTACATTCAGAAATCATCAAATATATGACGCAAGATATATGGATCCTCAAAGTAGCCACGCTTTACTTTGCTGAAAAATAGTAGATATTTAATTTTTTCTTAATACCAATTCCATATATCTTGCTTCATATATTTGATGTTGTATCTAAAATGTAGAAAGTTGTAAAAATAAATTGATAAAAATAAACAAAACACTGAATAAGATGGTGTAATGTGAATAAGATGTACTTACTAGTATATTTAAACAACACCAGTCAAAATACACCATCTGTTTTAATGTTTTTTATTTAAATTATTTGTTACTATTTTCTACTTTTTATATACATAGAAGATATCAAATATATGAAGCAAGATATATGGAGTAAGTAGTAAAGTAAACAAAGGTGGCTACTTTGAAGATCTGAATTTTAAAAAATCCATATCTTGCTTTGTATATATTTGATGTCTAGTAAAATAAAGAAAATAAAAACAACGATTAAGAGGGTGTGATAGATTGATAGCTGCTCTTAAAGTCAGCAGTGTCACAGATCTCTTAATAGTCTGATGATCCTTTAAAAAAAAATCTCCATGTAATTCTTGATAATACTAATAACAGTAGACTTTATACTGTTTTAAAGTTGTGTAATTAAACAAATACAACATTGATCAAGCTGTATTTTCATACATGTGTCTCTTCATCACAACTCATTTTCAGTTGAATCTATTGATACTTTGCAGCTGATGCCATTAACGTTTCTTGGGTGTGATGCTAACTATAGGCACTGCTCTGTCTGAGGGACAAAACTGTAACCTGTATAACTGCAAACAAACTTGATTAAACATTTCACATAAGAGATAAATGTAGAGCCCCTCAGCATGATGCCATTGCAAAGTATCAATGGAGTAAACCTGTATTTAGCCGATGGTGTTGGCGCTGGGAGCAGTATCATGCTTTGATTGGCTGTAATCTGTGAGGCTCAGGTTTCTGTGTCGACGGCGTGTTTCTATGGGAGGCACGCAGGCCCCGGATCACAAGGATTGACCCTGGAGCTCTCAGGTTAACGGGAGCTCTCCAAGTGTGCAGCAAAACACAGGCAGAACTTGGACTTCAACACTGGATTTAGAATTTGTTGGCGCTATTTAAAGTGGTTGCATGAGAAAGATAATTTGGAAAGATAATTTTTTAAGAATGAAAATTTGGAGGAAAACTCTATACTTGTTTGTGTAACAGTAACAGTACTCCAGTGGTGGAAGAGGTTTTTGATTTTGTTTGACAGATACATGTCATGGAAAAAATAAATTTAAGTAAAAGTATAAAAGTAAGTAAACTTGTTTAAAAACATACTTAAAGAATAAAGAGTACGTGTATTTTGTGCAGATTTTGAGATCTGCTTAAGCTTCAAATGTAGTGATTTTGATAAAGAATTATGCAGATTTTTTTCAACAAAAACAATTGAATCAAGAGTTTTTGTCTGCCTTTTACTTTCAGTCTTGTTTAAAATGTAGTGGAGTAGAAAGTACAGATACCTGCTCTAAAAATGAAATAATATGAAAATGTGTGTTTCCTCCTCTGCTCCTTCAGATATGATGTAGCTGTGTGTATAACCTTTGAAATATGCACCTGTTTTTGTGCTTTGTTTTATGTTTACTCTTTCAAATTACATTAACTTCAAATCGTAAATCAGATCTCATGTCCCAACTGTCACTCTTCAATTTGCCAAATACTTTTTTCTTGAACCATTACTTTATACTTTTTCTTGAGTAATATTATCTTATGTAGTTTGAAAAGAGTATTTTTAATTGAAAAATTTTAAGCTTGGATACATTTCTTGTTGAACTTTGACTGTGAACTCACCTCTCGTAAAACCTCCCACGGCAGGTTGTAAACATAATGCCAAACCATAAAAGCTACAAGTCTCTGTCTGTATACTGTATACATGAAAATTTGGCTCCACAGTACAGTCGAAAGTATTGAAAATAAGAGATAGTAAATGAGACTAAAGCTATTATTGAAACTAGATACTCTGATGACTATGATTTAATGTTGGAAATTGATTTACATTGTTTTGTTTGTATTGAGTGTTTTTTAATTTTCATCATGGTTTCAGAATCAGTATTGAGTATCGAGTTTATTAGTACAGAAATGGAGTTTGAAATTTTAGCATGTGACAACACTCCTCTACAGCTTTTGTGGGTTAACGGCTCCACATCTGCAGACAGGCCCCCCCCTCCCAGTGTGCGGTGGACTTAAGTTGTCTGTTGGTGTGTGTGTAAGTTTGAGGATCAGACCTGCATGTCGACAGGAGCGGAGCAGAGGAGACGGCTGCTGACAGGTGCTTCCTGTGACAGCCGGCAGGTGCTTGGGATATGACGGAGCTAGTGCCTCACACACATTCTCACACACACACACGCACACACAGACAGAGACACACACATACACATCAACACAAACACATATATAACACGCACTCGTACACCCACACACACAATGGGAACATTACATTGACTTCCATTCATTTTCTGGAGACTGATCCAGAGACTGTAAATATAAATGGACATAGCTAACCCACAAACCGCCACGTTCCAAATAGGAAGTGAGCATTTTGTCTTAAAATGTTCATATTAACCCACTCTACGTCATCCTGGTGTTTTTATTTAGCTATTTTCTCCTTAAATCAATTCCTATTCCTAATATGGACCTGGCTGTCCTTTGAAAATACCAGATTTTGTGCATTATGTAATGTTTAGTCATAGAAATTATATTAACTTCAAAGCATAAATCAGATGTTACTTCTTGACAGTCACTCCTAAGTTACTTTAGTACTTTTCCCAAATACTTTTTTACTTTTACCACTATGTACTTCTACTTGAATAATATTATTTGAAGTAACATTACTCTTACTTGAGTACAAATTTTAACTACTCTACCACCTTTGTTTATCAAATGAAACATGAGAAGAAGGTGGAAATGTTAATGTAATTTTAATATTATTGTTATTTTCAAGTTATATATCAGATATTATTGTGATAACACTAATGTAAACCCTAAACCTCATTGTTACCTACATGTGACTTATTGTTTTTTATGTTTAATATGTTTTAAAGAGGTTTACAATAACATCCTTTCTATATCACACACTAATATAATTTTTGAATCATGTACACAGTATCCATCTGGGTCACAAAATACAGATATTTAAATGTTTTATTAAAAAATAAATAGATCACAAAACCATTATAAACAAATATAGTATAAAGTCTCTGTAGGTCATCTAGTCCTTTGTGTGGATAGAAACACAGATCCTGAGCAAACGATGTCCAGTCTCATGAGAGCCCCATCCGTCACCAGCTCTATTTTCCCCTCTTTATTTTCACTCTCAGGTTTCCGCTCAGCCAATCACAGTCTGCGCAAAGACCCAAACAAAATGGCCGCTGCACACATAGGAGCGGGGCATCTGGTTTAATGCTGCCCGGGTTCCCCTGGGCAGTGACGGCACTTCGGACAAATGGAAACAGAGCTTGGACTGGAGCTTTTTAGATCTGTATCGGAGAATTCTTAACCGCTCAGACAGCCAGGCCCTACTGTCTGTGGAGATCAGTTTACACAAATAACATTAGGTGGAGCATCAAAAAGTTCATATATTATAATATTATTTGGCACAACTAATCTGTTTGTTTAAAGGGGCCCTATTACATTATTTTCTGATCGATTATAATGTTATTTCCTCATCACAAACATACCTGGAGTTGTGTTTTGTTTCATTCACACATGTTTAACACACAAATGCTGCATATTTAGGCTGAGTTCTTCTCTTAAACAGAAAACTCTGTTCCATCTTGTGATGTCATGTGGTAATACAGGAAGTGCTCCACTGTATTTTTAAACTCCATATACCTTCACCAGAATCATCTGGATGATTTCAGCCTTGGAATTGACAATTTCTACTGGACAAAAGATCAAATGTAGCTGTTAACTTGAAAAGTACCACTTCATGACATCACAAGGTGCAGCAGAGCATTTAGAGCTTTGGAGATGAAGACAGACTAATAAAGAGTTTCTCAAATGTGTGTGAATGAAACAAAGCACATCTCCAGGTATGTTTTTGAGGAAGTACAACATTATAGCATTCTAATGAATTTATAATTATGATTTACTTTATAGTAATATAATTTTACAGTTTAAATTATATATTTTGTTCTGGACAAATATTAAAAACAAATCTATAGGTTGATTTTGCATTGCTGCAAAATCTGTTATTGCACCTTAGAAATAAAGGCATGTTTCATCACATTCAGGTCATGTGTTTACTCTGCTGCTCCATTGTCTTGGGCCACAGCTCATTTCTCTTTCCTCACTTCTTCTCCTTCATTCCTTTCCTCCATCCTCTATTTTTCAGCTGTCAATCAAATACACCATATTAAGTGGTGTCCCAAAGCTCCAAGGAGACAAGGAAAGGAAACCAAAGAGTAAACATGAGGAAGGATCAGGAAGCAGACATCACATCAAATAATAAAACTGTTTTTGAGTTTGTACTTTTACAATAATTTAAAGGAACAGCACCAAATGATGTCTGATTTGAACAATTCAAAATTTTATATTAAAACTAATGAAAACGTACAGTACGTTCAAACATCTTCATCTGAAAGCAACGATGCCGGTCTGACTTTGATATAAAAGTCCTGAAATAATAATATTAAATAAGCCTCAGTATAGTCCTCCCTAAAGGGTTATTTTGGTCAGAACCAGCGCCTGTGGAAAGACTGTCTCCTCTCTCCTCTGCTCCTCTCTCCTTGCTGTGTCTCCTCTGTGGGTGCGAATTCCTCACCCATTTCTTGCAGAATCAAGGAGAGCAATCAAGGAGAAGGAAGCGACCAAAGAGAAATGAGCCATAAACTCCTCACTTAGACCAATAAAGTTTGATAATTTTATCTGACATCTGCCTCCTGACGCCTCCCTCATGTTTACGCCTTCATTCCGTGGTTTTATGTTGGATACCACTTAGTATGTAACATTTGATTGACAGCTGACAAACGAAGGATCAAGGAGAGGAATGAAGGAGAGGGAAGCGAGGATAGAGAAATGAGACGTGCCCTCTGAGTGTGTGAGGAGCAAAGTATTATGGGTTAGTGCTATGAGGGCGCTTTTGTGGAGCAGACCAGCGTATGCGAGGAGGGGATGGGCATCTGTGTAGAGCTCTGTTTGACGTCTGTTTCAGTCTGTGAGTCCGTGAGCAGGTGAGGGGGGATATACTCTGCCTTTCTTTGCTCAATATGGGGCTGACCAATGGCCGATTTGGGAGGACAGCGCCCCCTCTTGTCCTGGCCCCTGAAGCCTCTGAGTTTGGGGCTCCAGTGCTCTCTCCATTGCAGAGCCAGAGTGGAACGATCCGCCACCAGCCTCCTCTCTTCAGGCCCCCAGCCCCTCTCCCCCTCCTCCGCCCCGATCAAGAGAAACGTCCGTCCCACGTGAAGCCCGGGGCAACCGCAGCTCAAGTCTCGATCCGGGACCCACAGAGATTGGGAGCCCCTGCGCACGCGAGAGGTAGACCCTGCGCGAAATACCGTCTGTACAGAGATGAAGAACTGCCACCAGGGTCCAGAGCGCTCCATCCCCTTCACATGCACCTTCAGAACTGCAAACCCCCCCCAAAAAACACAAAAGAGAGTTAAACAGATTATGACGTCTCTGCTTAAACATAAAAATGTACATAATCTGACTGTTTACTAATCATAATAGGCCCAGAAAATCACAATATTAGAATTTTTATTTCTGCAAATTGTGTTGTAGTTACTTAAATAAAATAAATAAGGTATAAATAAGAGCTACACAACACATTATAGTGTAAAGGGGGAAAAATGCCATTATTAGTTCCTGTATTGGTATTGCTAATATCGGGCATTGATACTTGAAGCTGTATTATTGGAATCGGTAGTGAACCTGTAAAAACCGTAACGGTGCATCTCTATTATTTATTCTACCTTCTACAGTTCAACCATCACATGAAATAATATCACATTATATTACTTATATATACCAATTATGACATTTTCACATCACATATCACATTTTGCAAAGAAACTGTACAAACTATAAACATTTAACTCTAAAATATATGCTTCCAGCTTTCATATACTGAAAGATATGTCGATAAAGTAATTATCATGAAAGGTCTACCAGCGCTTTAAACAGAGGTTTATAAATAACTGACACATACCATAATCCTTGAGACAATAGGTTTCCAGATTCATTCGGACTTTATGTTGGGCAGGCTGGCAGTATGACACGCACTCTTCAGCTGTAACACACGAATAGAGAGAGAGAGAGAATGTAGTAAATGAGAGACTGGATTCATATCATCACATGTCTTTGCCCCTAATTACAATATGGCCGCTTGTATTTGTCATCACTGTATCCTGTGACTAACAGATGACCCCGAGTGGAGCAGGTGTGACATTCCTACAACTGCCACTAGGAGGGAGTGGTTAGCTGCTACTACTGTGACAGCGCATTACTAATCATGCAAGAAGTACATAAGTAAGTGTCTGTTATGATATCGGAGCTGTAACGCATAGGTCCAGGTCCAAATCAAAACAAGACTACATGTTCAAGTAGCAGCTAGATTATCTTAAAGCTGCACTGTGTAACTTTTTCTTTGGGGGTCCGCCACCTGCTTGTTTCTATGGTTATGTCATTGCACTGCCTGGAATGTTCCGCAGTATGACATTAAACCGCTCTGTCTTACATTTATTCAGTTACAGGTGGCTTTATAGCATAAAAATATCTAGAAAACAGCATTCTGAACCCGAGTGGGATTGCCTCTCCACAGATCTGACCTGTAACTTTGCCTGGTTTGGTCTCCATGAAGATAGAAATGTTCACAGCATACTGTGAAACATTCCAGATAAAGCAATAACATAACAATAACACAAAAGTATTTGATGGACTATCCACCAGAAAAGTTACACAATGCACCTTTAACATTTCACGTCAGTCAGAAGAGAGTTTAAAATAGTTTAACCTGATTTCAAGTCTGAACTGGGTGCATAACTCACTTAGTTTGGACTCGAAAATGTCTCTTAAAAATGTCTCTTAAAGGTGCAATGTGGAACCTTTCTGCTGGAGAGTGGAACATTCCATGGAAAGAAATGACATCTCCATGGAGACAAGAAAATAGCGGACTCTCCACAACAGAAGTTACATAATGCACCTTAAAATTTCTAAATTTCCCTTAATTTAGTTTTTTACTATTATTATATATATATTTTTTACAAATATAAATATATATTTTTTCTCTATTTGTGGAATTGTTTTTGCAAATTTTGATAATGATGTATAATCTTTGTTCTTCCACCAAAAGGCATCTCCAATTTTTTATTTTGTATTTTATTTGTCTTACCTATGCTGTACTGGGACTGGTACATGGGCGTGGGGGCGACCTCCAGGACCCCTGCAGAGACAAAGACACTGTGAGACAGGTGACGGCAGGTGACGGCAGGCTGTTGCCCCTGTCATCCGTGCTATGGCTCAGAGCTTCATGGAGGAGCGTGCGGCATGTCTGTGTGTAGAAGTTCATCTAAACTTCTCTGTGTGTGTGGCCCTTTTATGGCTCTGAAATTCTCACTGTTAACAAACTTTTCTTTTCTATAATAACTCCAGGCTGAACATGGTGAATGGTTTTATCTACAACATTACACAGGAGCTAGTAAAGTTTCATTCTGAGAGCGTAAAATGAACACAGAGGTTTAAACATACATTATCCAGGCGTCTTGTAAAAGTGTGTGTGTGACATTGTCGTATATAACCAGCTCAGATCGGTCCCTGTTTCTGTCCACACTGATAAAATGGGACCTGACACTCTACACTGGCCCCAGCTGACTGCTTCAAAGCACAGGAAGCTGCACTGCAGATACTTTTTCATTGCTATATACATTCCATATATCTTGCTTCATATAATTGATAGGCCCACACTACATATCTAATGAAAAATACATATTAGAAGATTTTGTGAGGGGCCGCTACTTGCATTGGGTCCTAGGTAAACTGTACCCTTTAGCTTTTAATCATTTTTTTCACATTGTATTTTTTGCTAACCTGAATTGGCTCTGCTGTGTTCTAAATTAAAGGTCCTATATTTCCCCATTGTTGTAATGTTGTAACCTCATGCTGTAATGTTGTGAATGAAACAGAGGACAGCTCCAGGTATGTTTGTGATGAGGAAACAACATTATCACATCGGTCAGAAAATAGATATGATGATAATGATGATGTAGAGTTTTAATTATAACACAAAACAGGCCATCTCCCCAAGACATTATCAGGCTTGTTTCTCAATAATGTTATAAGCATTTTTGCTTTCAGGGGTAAATAATGACCCTTTTATTTAAACAGTGGTGGAAATACTGCGCTAAATGCCAAATTTTACCTATCTGTACTTTACTTAAGTACATTTTACACTTGTGTATACTTTTTACTTTTGCTTCACCACATTTTAGAGCAGGTATCTGTGCCTTCTACTCCACTTCATTTTTGAACTGGACTGAAAAGTAAAAGTTTTTTATTATAGTTTGAGACCTGCTGAAAAAGTTGAGGGTTTATTATTTGAACAAACAAAAATAAACAAATAAAAATGGCTAGAACAAACAAAAACAAAACAAATTCAGCTATTTCTGTTGAAAACAGTTCAGCACAAATCTATTAAAATCGATTCATTTAAAGTTTTTTTTGTTAGATCTCCAAATATGCGCTAAATACTTTTACTTTTTACTCTTTAAACAGATACTTTAATGCCTGTAGATTTTTTTCATGTGATACTTTTACTTCAGTATTTCTTTGCAGCTGTACTTTTACTTAAGTACCAAAATTGAGTCCTTCTTCTACCTCTGTTTCTTTCACTAAATATGCAAGGATTTCTTTATTCTTCATCCCAAATACTCAAACAGAATGGACTGATTAAATCAGAATGATAAACGCATGTGCTGCTAAGGACTCTGCTCTGCTTTCTGCTTTTGGGTGCGTTTGATCAGAGGTGCGATGAGCAGGGGGTTTTTCGGGGGGGTGGAGATGCTAAACTTAGACTGAGATGGTCTGGCAGTAAAAACAAACAAGGATGTCTTTCACTTGCTCCTTTCACTGGAAGAGTTATGAGTCTGGACCTGGGTTTGAGGAGGGAGTTTGAGCTGGACAACAGGTGTGCAGAACTCCTGAGGTCACATGATTTCAGCAGAGACAGCGCCAGGTCTATAGGTGACTGTTGACCCTTTTTTATGTATGATTTATTTAGAATTTTTCAAAATATAAAAGACACTTTACATAAAGAGGTGTAATATCCATCTTACAATGTACACACCTTAAAAAAAGAGAAAATTGCGCAAAAACATACAGTCAAAACATATTTATTGTTTTTATATTTAGTACTGCTTTTATTTATTGTTTTTTAATTCTTTTTATTCATTAATGGTATTATTATTCTTTTATCTATTGTTTCTATTAGATCCTTTTGTCTGGAACATAATTCTGCTGACTGAAATAAAGTTGGATTGGATTGGGTCACCTCCAGTGTCAAAGGCATGACATGATCTAAAAAGAGAACCAGACTTCAGTAAGTTTAGAGCCAGAGCCTTTGAGACAGTGCCTTATTTTCTCCAGTTTCATGAAAGAGAAGCATCTTTTATCTATTGAGAGTGGATGCTCTTGGCCCTTTTGCCCTTTTGTGATTAGATTCTTGCGCACTGCATTAACTAGGGATGCACCGATCCAGCTTTTTCCACTTTTGATACTGACTTGGACACTACAGCCTCAAATATCTGCCTATAACTGATATTAATCGATACCAGTACAGAGACTGAACACAGCATTTATTTCCTTTAAAGCAGTGATACTGCTTTCACAAGAGCCACTTTGGAAGAGCAAAATCAAGAGGAGAGCCAACATACGCCAGCATACCAAGTCACCTTTGCAAATGTGCATTTCTACCTATAAATTGAACATCCTCCAAAAAAGAAACAGCCAATACATTTTCAATTAAAACCATACTTACCTTATACTGGGATGAGCAGAAGCTGGCATGCATGCATTATTACTATTATTAATCTACATAAATAAACTCAACCTTTACAACATATAAACCATAACCACTACAGAGCCACATCATCCTGTTTGACATTATAATGTGTTTAATGCAGTTTTGACACATTTGTTTATGTTTTACAGAAACAAATCTTAAAACTGCATGGCTAATTTGCATAAACTGTAAGCCTGAAAAAAACATCTTTCCTTGTGTGCTGATGCGGTTCAGATTCTGTCGGACTAAAGGACACAACTCAGTAGAATATATGTGTGTTCTCTCTGTGACAAAGGGATATGCTTTTCATGCTGAGTTTGTTCTGTGTGTTATATCGTGTTGGAGATGGTTCATGTTTTCAGAGATCACACATGTGCAGGTTTAGCGCAGCTCTTTATTTAACAGTTATTTCACTCACTTTATTTATGTTGATCACTTTGTTTAGATGATGTTAATCAAGAGCATGGACTACCTTTTAAAATGGGTACAGGTACGGGTCGTTTATACATCATTTATACATGCACTGTCACTGGTTTCTGGTGTCACGGAGCCCCCTTTAGGAAACACCATTAATTAAGCCTTGATTTATACTTGGTGTAATGCAGATGTTTGTGTTGCAATGTTCACTATATGTTTATCTGGCACATTTGAAAAAATATATTGGCTGTATTACTATTTTTGGTATAAATTTGCAAGCCACCAATTAAAGCTTGGCGAGCCGCATGTTGCTCATGAGCCACGCAATGAGTATCCCTGCTTTAAAGGTACACTATGTAACTTTTTTGTTGGGGGGTCCGTTTTCTATGTATATGTCACTGCTCTGCTTTGAATGTAGTATGATATTAAACAGCTCAACTTTGCATGAATTCAGTTACAGGTGGTTTTATTGCTCAAAAATGCCTACAAAAACTGGTTTGGTCTTCAAGAAGATAGAAAGGTTCAATACCATAATGTGAAACTTTCCAAACAAAGCAATAACATCTCCACGGAGAAAATAATTTGACGGACCCTCCACCAGAAAAGCTGCATAATGCACCTTTAAACAAAAATAAAACAAGACAAAAGTGATCCAAATGTTTCATGTATATAGCTGTCATTTATCCCTCAAGTAACCACAGAACAACTATGAATAAATAAAAGTTCAAACATTATGAGACTTTCTGGGCCAACTACAATCAGGAAATAGTCTTATATCACATCAGTGTATATGTCCACCCAGGATATTTGGAAGCTGATATTGATCTGTCTAATTTTATCAGATCAGTGCATTCCTAGTATTAACCCATGCATAAATATGATGTGACAATAATGGTTGATCTGAAACTGATGGAGCTGTATTTTTCTTGTGTATTTCAACATCTGTGGTGAGAATTTACAAGCACATTTGGCCTGGAAAACATGCACTTGTCCAAATCAATTATTATGAGTGAGTAAGACTTTTAGACCTCCACCATTGAATATGAATCTAGAGAGGTCACATGAGGTCAGTTATGCTTCATTAAAACACAGATTAATACAGGCTGTTCTATGCTGTAATGACTGGAAGGTGATTGCTGGGGCTGTTGACATAAGGACTACTTTAATAATCCAGTGCTGAAATCCAAACAAGAAACAAATGCCAGAACAAGTGTAAGGATATAGCCTGCTCAAACATCGGCCGGTACCATTATGAATAAGTTCAGGATTTAAAGGTGCACTGTGTAACTTTTCTGGTAGAGGACACTCCTTTTATTTGTCTCCATGGATATGTTATTGCTTTAGCTCCAATATTCCAAAGTATGGCATTAAACTTTTCCATCTCCACAGGAACAAGCAGGAGACGTCACCAGGTCAATTTACAGTTGAGATCTGTGAAGAGGAGACCCCGCTCACAGTAAGAATGCAGGTTTTTTAAAGGTATTTTTCAGCAATCAAATCACCCATAATTGAATAAATGCATCTTATACCTGAAAAGTTACGCAGTGCACCTTTAATGATAGATTATGGACACTGACTATGTGTGAACTAAACCAAAGCTGCTCCTCAAAACTAAGGCATCTTATAATTCAGTGGTAAATACTCAATTCAGAATTATTATTGATTTATAAATGTCTGATTGTGTTTGTGAGTGTGATTGTTTGTACTCACTGACACAGGGTCTCAGGGGGGACTTGCCCTGTTTGTATCCAGGGGCACAGCGGTTACACCTGAGCCCGGCCACGCCCTCTCGACAAAGACACTGCCCCGAAGTCTGATTACACCACCTGCCCACGGCGCCCAGAGGATGGCACTGGCACGCTGAGACACAACACAGGGTTTTAGTCTTTCTATGCACAGAATTAACTGAAGCAATTCTTGAGACGTCCAGTAAAAAATATGATCACAAAATTAATTAACTGGACTTACTAAACCTTTGCAGCCAATGTTTCGCTATCAGCCAAGTAGCTTCTTCAAAGCTTTGTGTGACAGTGAGTGTTTCCTAATTGCCATGATCCTGGGTGTCTGAACCACTTCGGAGAGATGTTCCAAATGCGCTCCCAGACGCTGTGAGTGGGACACTTGGCTCTGCTTCAGAGGAGTCGAATGTGGAGGAGTGCTACAAAGTGGTCTTTGGATGAAGGATTCTGCAGTTCTCCCTGATGTAGCGATGGAGCTAACAGGTGTTAGCCTACTGCTGGAGGCTAAACCACAGGTGGTTCTCTTCCACAGTCACTGCTACATCAGTGGGAGCCACTGTCACAGCACAAAGCCCTGACGAAAATACTTGGCTGGTAGCCAAACTTTGGCTTTAAAGGTTTAGTAAGTCAAGTTGATTTGATCCATTTTGTGATAATATGCACAGAATTAAAAACAAAGCAGTTTCATTTTGCCATATGCCCACAGTGAATTAAATCTGCAGTTTGGAGCATTCAGCTGTGTGCAAGTGCAGAACTATTTTATTGCTGTTGAAGTTTATTTGAGACAGCTGTACCGGCTGCAGTGCAAATGTGGTTGAGATTAAAATATTTTCCTTCAAAGGTGTAAGTTTTTGTATTACCTTAACTGAACTGAACAAATGAGATTACAAACATTTAAAAGTATTATGCAATCTGGAACTTCAAACCATGCTATAATGTTGTTATTTCATCAAAGACATACTTGGAGTTGTGTTTTGTTCCATTCACACATGTTTGAGTAACCCTGCATTATTACTGTCTACATCTCCAAAGCTGTTCCACCTTGTGATGTCATGTTGTGGTCTTTTACGTTAAATAGAGATTAGCAATCAAAATGATTCTAGTGATGGAGCACTTCTTGTATTACCACATGACATAACAAGGTGGAAAAGAGTGTTTTACAGTTTGAGAGAAGAACTCAAAAGCCTAAATATGCAATTTTATTTGTGTTAAACGTGTGAATGAAACAAACAACTCCTGGTTTGTTTGTGATGAGGAAACAACATTATAACACAGATCAGAGAATAGAGTGATATGGGCCCTTTAAACTCTTGGTGTTCCTCGGTGTGAAAAGGACACAGGTGCAGTCGCTCACACTGAAGTATTTGCAGAGTAAAGTCCTTGAACAGACCTTGAACGACACAGGATACAGAAGGCATTTAGGACTCATTAAGAGGGTAAACATGACCTGAGGGGGGCTATTTTGGACAATTATCCAAACAAGAAAAGATCTAAAAGGCAATGCCCCAGCACACAATGGTAGAACAGTCACCAGCCCACACTTCAGGTACAATGAAAGTGTACTTTATTAATCCCCTGATGAGACAAATAAAGTGGGCCACAATGCCTTAATCGATCAAGTATTTAAAGTCCTATTATGCAAAATCGACTCTTGTGAGCTTTAAGCCATGTTATAATGATGTTATCTCATCAAAGACATACACACACAACTTGAGTCACCCTTTCTTATTAGTCTGTCTACAGCTCAGTTCAAATGTTCTGTTCCACCTTGTGATGTCATGAAGCTGTACTTTTAAGCTTTTGTTCAGTAGAGATTGGCAATTCCAGGGTGAATTCTAGTGAAGGTTTATGGAGTTTAAAAACACAGTGGAGAACTTCCTGTATCATCTCATGACATCACATGGTGGAACAGAGTGACTTCTGTTTGAGAGATGAACTCAGCCTAAATATGTAGGAGAAGAACATAGAACATAGATCAGAAAAGAGTGTAATATGGGCCCTTGGTTTGTATGTTTGTTATGATTTGTACATAAACAGAAATTGGAAAGCCCAATGGTAAAAAACAGCACCGTTCCTATAAAAAAACCCACAGACCTTGTAATGATCCCTGCCTCCAGTGTTTGTACCAAGAATCCTTTGGTTTATCAGAGCTTTAACTGTGCCAGCCCCAATGAAACTAGACAGATTGAGAGGAAGGGCCTCTTCAGCAGCTCTGTTCACACTCCTGTAAACTTTAAACAAATCTCAAACTCCAGTCCAAACACGCCGACAGCGGCCATGATCTACTACCTCTTAAAGGGACGCTCTGCTCAACATACCCCGTGAATAAAAGCCCCGGGGCAGTTCGGTGTGCATTCAAGTATAAAGTATAAAATCGATCAAAATCCTGTATTAGCTTTACTTTGTCATCTTCGCACATGTGTCAGGGGAGGCCCATTAAGTGAGGATATATTAGGCCCAGCTCCCAGACTCCCAGCATGCCTCAGTGTCACACAGTCACTTAGGACAAAGGTCAAGGGTCACGGTAGACGCCAAACTGTGGTAACGACGGGCTACAGGTGTCAGCCCAGCGGGACTTGTGTACTCGCTGTGTACATTCTGATGTTCGGCGCATAAATAACTGTCTGCTCCAACTGACGCCCGCTTTAAACACGAGGACAGTTTGAGGGCAGCACTCTGAAAGCCCCTCATCATAATTTACCTCCAGACTCAAGAGACTTCCTTTATAGTTGCCATTTAAAGGGCTCACATTGCACAGTTTTATGATCTATGTTATAATGTTTCCTAATATTTCATTCACACATGTTTATCACACAAACCCTGCATATAGTTTAGGCTGAGTTCTTCTCTCAAACAGAAAACACTTCCACTTTTGTTCCACGTTTGTTTCTTCACTTTGTTCCACTTTGTGATGTCATGTGGTAATACAGAAAAAGCTCCATTGTGTTTCTAAACTCCATACATCTTCACTAGAATCATTTGGATAATTCCAGCTCTGAAAATGGCAATCTCTACTTAAAGGTAAAAGGTAGTTGTTAAAGGTGCCCTGTGTAACTGTTCTGTTTTAACTTGAAAACTGCAGCTGCATGACATTACAAGGTGGAGAGGATTTTGAGTTTTGGAGATGTTTGTACAATCCCCCAAAATGTGAAACCCCATCTGTAGCAGCAGACTTACGCTGGCAGACCCTGCGGTGGGTGAGGGGTTTGGTGTGGTCCCGTGTGTACCCGTTCTGGCAGTACTGGCAGTGGCGCCCGGCTGTGTGGTGCCTGCACTTCTGACAGACTCCTCCACTCTTCCTCCCCGACTGCTGGAACACCTCCATACTGAAGCGACATTTGTTTGAGTGACCGTTACACTCACACGCTGAAAGAGGAGAAACAAACAAAACAATATTGATACTTTGCAGTGACGTCATGCTAGAGGTGTTCTGCAAGTATGTCTATGCCGGGATGTTTCTGTAAAAAAATTAAGATTGTCTGGACAACACATTTTCAGGAGCCTCTGATCAATCCGGGCATTCAAGATCCTGTTTAGGTGTTTAATTTTCAACAAAAAAGATGAGAGTGACTAACTGAAAAACTGTTGTAGTTCCAGCTAAGTCAGTTCTTTATGGTCAGTTTGTGTTAAAACAAAACCCAGATTTATGTCTAAATTGTGTAGAAGAACTTCAAACAGAGCTGAGTCTACAGTTAGCATCACACCCAAGGGAATGTTGATGACATCAGCTGCAAAGTATCAATAAAGCATTATCTTGTGAATGCTGTTTCAGAAAAAATGTAAATCTAAAAAAACATGTTTGTATTGTTTTTGTTCTGAATTTCAGTATAAATTTCCAATGTGTTTGAAAATGCAAAATAGAAAATCTTTTAAATATAGACATACACATATATTTTCAAGCTCTCAAATTCAAGGGTGTAGGTTTGCATAGGGACGGTGGGGACATGTCACAACCAATATTTGGGGAAGACAAATATTTGCCATTTTATTTTAATAAACAACAATGTAAATTTATTCTGATATTTTTCCAAACTCAATAGTGTTAATTTAACACATTTAAGTTCACATTTTGTTTATTAGACGTTCTCAGATGTATTCAGTGATATGACGACAGGGTTACCCCTGCTGCTATTTCATTGGCTACAACAGAGTGATGTCATTAGTGGTGCCGGGAACAGCAGGATAGTGCCAAGCACCTGAAGATAGCGGCTTGAGCAGGAGTGCATGAAGACGTTGCAAACCAAACTTTGAAAAAACTTTTCAAAATGAACTTATTTGGCTTCATCTTCAATTAAACTTTCCTTATAATTAGTCCCTGCAGAAAAAGAGCGACTGTCACCACAAGTGCAACTCCCAAAAGGAGCCCTATTCGTGCGCTGTTAGCAGCTGGACTCCATTGACAATATTCCATGGAAAAATGTCTGAACATAACCTAACAAATATCTCCAACAAGCAAAGGAAAATCAGCTACAAACTTCTACATTGCTGTTATCCTCTAAAGAATCATCTTAGAAGGGCAATGGACACAAACTGTATATTTTGAGAACTAAAAATGAAATCACCTCTCACTTATTTATTTATTTATTTTTTTGGGGGGGGTGATAATGTCCCCACCAAAGCTGAGACCAAACCTATGCCCTTGCTCAAATTCAACAATCAAAATTCAGTGTAAAATTTGCATTGAAAAAATGTGCAACAAAGAAGATTAAAAAAGATTACAGCTCTAAACCGTGGACTCACCAACACAGGGGTTGGGGTTGGTGGGCGTGGCTCGGTGCCATGGTCTGTCGTAGTAGAAGTCCTCACACACGTCACAATCTGGTCCTGCTGTATGGTGCTCACAAACGCACACCGCCCGCCCATTGTCATCACGGCGACACTTGGAGGCGTGGCCGTTGCACTTACACCTGCCGCCCACCTGTAGGTCAGACAGGGCCAGGGTCCGGACAGGCTCAGTGGAGAGTGGAGCCATCTGTAGGTGTCTGACGCTGGATCTGTTGATGTTATTGTTTCGTCTCTTTCTGAGCTCACGTCCCTTGTTGCCCCGCCCCCGTCCCTCCACCATCCAATCACAGTCCTTGTTGGGGCAAAGGCCGCTGTCCTTCTTGCGGCCTCGTCCTTTTCCCTTCCCTCGCTTTGGTGATGTGTGCAAATCCAGATCAAACGGGTCTCTGTTTTCTTTGCTGGTCACATTATGGCCCTCTTTATCCTGACCTTTCCTCCCGTGTTTCTCTTTATTTCTGGGCTGAACCTCTGAGTTTTTTGCATCCGTGTCGAAAAACACCAGCGTATTTTCTACATTCATCTGATTAAACCCTGGTCTCCATGTCAAAACTCCAGTCCGTCTGTTGTCGTCTACGTCATGCCACCGCGGAGGGGGCGGGGCTTTGCCAATTTCAAAACTGCTCCCTTTCTCCTCTCTGGTTACTTTGTGAAAGACAATCCTTATGTCTGTAGCTGTGACCCAGTCTTGGAGAGTGGGGCTATAGTCAAAGTCAGGAGAGGACGGACGACCATCTAAAGTGGAAAAAGCCAGAACCATCCCTCCTCTTTGCTTCTGGAGGGGTCTGGGGTCCGAGCAAAGGGGCTCTGTTTCCTGGTGCCTGGTTTGAGCAGATGTTTGAGAAGGCAGGTTGAAATCAGTTAGACAGTCACTGGAGTAATGCTGCATAGGTCTCCATGTACGCCCAAAGTCCATAGATTTTAGTATGGAGATAGAAATGGGATCAGACGGCTCCCCCTGCTGGCAGAACTGCAAACTGATGTACGTGATCTCAAAGCGCCGCCCTAGTGGAAGCGTCAGCACCCACTCTTTTGCGTCTGGGCCTTGCGGTGCCACCCAGCAGGTCAGGTTATGGGGGTTATGCAGATCCGTCAGAGAGGTGATGTTATTGTCGAAATTGCGTCCGGAGCGAGTGGCGTCCACGGGAACGCCATACGCCGCGTTGATGAACTCAGAGAGGCAGTGGCGAGGGCGGGCGTCGCTGTGGTAGCAGGGGTTGTGGGAAGAGGTCCAGCTCAAGGGCACGTGAGGAGGAGAGGAGGAGACAAGCGAGGAGGGGTAGAAGAAGAAGAGGAGGTGAAGGAGGAGAGGGAGAAGAGAGTTGGAGGAGGGCGAGGATGGGGGTAGGGAGGAGGGCGGGTACATCATGTCATCCAGCCTGTAACCGAAACAGAACAGAGTGAAAATAAATTAAAAGTGAGTGATTTATATGATTCTAATTTGGCGCCAAAGAGAAACCTGAGCCAAAGCACCTGCTTCTTTATTGAAAACACTCACCTCACTGAACTCTACCAGATTTCAGTGTTGGCACGATACTAAAATTTCAAACTCGATTTCGATAATAAGGAATAGACTTGATACTCAATACAAAAAAAACTCAAGAAAAAAAAAAATACACCAAAACCAAACTAAAAAGGATAAAACTCAATACCAAAAAACACTCTTTCTTTAGACAATAGAATATTATTTTCAATATTAAAGATGCACTGTGTAACTTCTAAGGTGGAGGGTCCGCTACTTGCTTGTCTCCATAGAGATGTTATTTATTTGCCTGGAATGTTCCACAATATGGCATTAAACATATCTCTCATGTATTTCTTCAATTACAAGTGTTTTATAGTTCAAAAATACCTTACAAAATCATGAAGGCAGGCTTGCTTCTCCATAGATCTGAACACTAACCTGTCTCCATTGTGAAGTTTATTTCTATACTGCAGAATAATCCTGGCAAAACAGTAACATCTCCATGGAAACAAGTGTATGCTAGTCTATGTGCTCTTACACTTGTTCTGATACAGCTCAAGATCATTCTGAAGTTATTCAGGAAAAGTACATTTCTGTTCAGTGAATGTGCCTTTTTTAGTATTGATACTTGCTTAAATGAGTATCTAGTTTTGATACTAGTTTTAGTATCAATATTTATTTAATAACATATTTACAAACAGACTACCACCCCAAAGTGCTTAACAACACAGATAAAAAGTGGTATATGAGTAAAGTAAACAAGTAAACCCAATAAAACAAAGTTAAAGGTGCATAATGTAGCTTTTTTTGGTGAATGGTCTGTCAAATACTTTTCTTCATGGAGATGTTATTGTTTTGTCGTGAATGTTTCACAGTATGGCATTAAACCTTTCTATATTCATGGAGACTAAACCAAACCAAGTTACAGGTCAGATCTGTGGACAGGTGACCCGCTCACAGTCAGAACAGCTGTTTTTCTAGATATTTTTGAGCTATAAAACCACCTGTAATTGAATAAATGTAAAGTAGTGCTGTTTAAAGTCATACTGTGGAATATTTGAAGCAGAGCAATGACATATCCATAAAAACAAGCAATTTTATGAAAGATTACACTGTTCTCCTTTAAGAACATAAATATTGATTTATTGATAAAACAATAGAAAATCTCTTAGTTTAGTATTGATTAGCATCTGATTATCGATACTTTCTCGATACAGCCCTAGCAGATTTCAACACTCACACAGACAGCGCTACAAAACAAACTGTCCTTCCATCTAAATTATTGTTGAAGCTGTTGAACCTTTGCTCTTTCTAAAGCCTTAAGTGTGATAAGTGTTTATGAAGAAGAGAACTAAACTAGAAGCTGTCGTAACTGACAAAAACATGGCCGACAGCTGAGCCCCTGAGCCGTGAGCATGACAGCATTCATCAAGTTTACGGTCTCCTTCTGTAAACTGCTCCATTTCTCCTCCAGGCAACTCACACACCACAACCAAAAGACTGCGGTTTGGTTATGAGAAAGTATGGTGGAAAAGACTCATTTGAAGATTTAGGACAGATATCAGAGCGGAAATAAATACTCAAACAAAAGTAAAATATCACATGAAAAATCTATTAAAGTACCCGTTTATAAATGTACTTAAATAGTAAGTATTTCATGCAGGTTTTGAGATCTTATATTGCTTCAAATGTGACAATGTTGATACAGATTTTGTGCTGAATTTTGTTCAGTAGAAACAACTGAATCGAACTAGATGTTTTTATTTGTATTTTTTTGTTTGCTCAAATTATGAACGTGTTAAAAATAAATCCCCAGTCTTTTGAGCAGGTCTCTAACAATAATAAAAAAAATACTTTCATTTCTGAGTACAGTTCAAAAATGTAGTGGAGTAGAAAGTACAGATACCTGCTCTCAAATGTACAGATACTTAAAGGGCCTTATTAAAATACTTCCTGATCTATGTTTGATCTATGTGATGTCATGTGGTAATACACAAAGTGCTCCACTGTGTTTTTAAAACCGCATAGACTTTCACTAGAATCATTTGGATTCTGTAATTGCCAGTCTCTACTAAACTAAGGATAAAATGTAGCTGTAAACTTATAAACTACTACTACATGACATCACAAGGTGGAACAGAGCATTTTGAACACAGACTAATAATGCAGGATAACTGAAAAATGTGTGAATGAAATGAAACACAACTCCAGGTAACATGTTATTGCTTGGCCTGGAAAGTTCCACAGTATGGCATTACACTTATTTCTCTTCATGGGGATGATAAGGTGAGACAAGGGCAAGGTTCAGGTCAGATATGTGGAGTGATGACCCCTTTTGCAGTAAGAATGCATTTTTTAAAGGTATTTTGGGGCTTTAATAAACACTCGTATTAAAATAAATGCAAAATAGATCCGTTTGATACCATACTGTGTAACATTCTAGGAAAGCACTATCATCTCCATGGAGACTAGCAGGTGGCGGACTGTCAACCAGAAAAGTTACTTAGTGAACATTTAAAGCTCACAAGAGTCCATTTGGAGTAATATAGTACTTCACTACTTATACTCCATTGCAGCAGTGATACTAGCCAGCCTGATTTATAGATGTGAAATGCTGGAGCTTTAAGACTTCCGCGGTACAGACGAAAACAGACTTGCACTCCGACAGCTCGAGCAGATCTTTTCCTGTCTCACACGACTCCCGATGACGTTAATTTATTCCTCTGTCAGGATTTGATCGCCCGGTGTTAATTCTGGCATGTGGACAAATGGAACAATGCGTCTTTCTTTCTTTCTCTCTCTCTCTCTCTCCTGTGATTTATCATGAGCTCTCCTCTCGCCAAGCCCAGAAGCGCATTCCCAACAAGCTCCTCTGTCATCCCTGTTTTTCCTTCTTTCAGTGAAGTAACACACAGATCCAGCCTGCGTCCTTTCTTAACTTGATTCAGTCTGCTTTGTTTTCTTTTCAAGACAGATAAGATAGGCAGACTTTTATTTTAAAGGTCCTATATTATTAAGCAAAATTAACTCTTGTGAGCTTTAAGTCATATTATAAACATAGCGCAAGTTGTGTTTTTTGTTTGCGCATGTTGGCGTAATCTTGCATTATTGGGCAGTCTGCATCTCCAAAGCTCAAAATGCTCTGTTCCACCTTGTCATGTAGTGATAGTTTTCAAGTTAACAGCTACCTTTTGTTCAGCAGAGATAGGCAATTCCAGGTTTGAAATGATCCAAATGTTTGTAGTGAAGGTATGGAATTTAAAAACACAGTGGAGCACTTCAGTTTGAGAGAAGAACACAGTCTAAATATGCAGGGTTTGTGTGTTAAACATGTGTGAAAGAAACAAAACACAACTTCAGGTATGACTGTGATGAGGAAACAACATTATAACATAGATCAGAAAATATCAAAATATATAAAATTATCAAAATACAATATTATATTAAAAAAATAGCATAATATGGGCCCTTTAAATAACATGCACATTTCCAGGTTGGGTACTTAAAGGTGCACTGAGTAATTTTTCTGTTGTAGGAACTGACACCTGCTTGACATCAAGTAGATATTATTGTTTTTTTCCAGGAATGCTACAGTATGACATTTAATTTAACTATCTCCATGGTGACAAGCAGGTCACATCGTGGTCAGGCAAAGTTACAGATCTGTAGAGAAGTGGGCCCGCTCACAGCAATAAAGCATGTTTTTGTGGTCGTTTGGATATATAAAAGAAATAACATCACCATGGACACAAGCAGATGGCAGACCCTCTACCAGAAACGTTACCCAGTGCACTTTTATCTTGATGCAGTTTTGTTTACTTTCTTTTCAAGACACAAAACAGAGAAAATATTTCTCCAAATGACCCTGTGCTCGTATTTTAAAGAGATCTCCCTGCGCCTCTGTGTGTCCGCTCATCCATCACCTGCCCCCTTCAGTCTGTCCTGGGAATATTCTTAACTGTGTGGAGATTGATGATGTCCTAACAAGCGTTTGACAGTGACAGCGGAGTCAGCAGGCCAGCAATAAGCAGCACATAGGAGAGGACAGAGCCAGGATCCTTAGCGCCCTCGTCATCCTGCCCAATTAGCCCCAGGACGAAATCTGAAGCTGCGGCCCACGGGGACCACACAGCTCAGAGGAGGCCAGAGAAGAGACTCATGCGCTCAAAAGGATACTTTATTTATCAGTTTGAAATCTAGAGCAGGAAAATTGTCAATAGGCAAATTATAAAGTATGATGTGTTGTTGAAGAAAATATAGACAACAAATGATAATTTATTAAATTAAATTTAACTATTTAAATATAAATATTAAATATTGGTATAAGTGACTCTTGTGAACTTTTAGCTCTTAGCTCTTAGCTTTTATTTATAATGCTGTTATCTCATCAAAAACATACCTGGAATTGTGTTTTGTTTCACTCATGCATGTTTGAGAAACCCATCATTATTAATCGCACTACATCTTCAAAGGTCAAAATGGTCTGTTGCTGTAGTTTTCAAGTTAAGGATTTTACCTTCTGAAAACAATATTATAACGTAGATCAGAAAATAGCGTGATACGGGCCCTTTAAATGTATGTTCGAGTATGAACCTGAGCCCTTTTATTACAAACACACTAAAATGTTCAAATAATGAGTTTCCGCTTTTCAAATGTAAAGGGAATATTATACCTCAGAAAACAATAGAGCAAAAAGAAAACAAACTAAAGAAGCACCAGAGAGAGCAGATCTTTGCCAAAAGTGCAGAGGCCAGAACTCAGAGTCAAACTAAATTATTCTTACGAGAATTAAAAATCTCTATTGAGTTTCATTAAAAATAAAGGGGAAGCGATTTTACTGAAGCATTGTTAGGGCCAGAAACTAAATGAAAAAGTTCAGAAAGTATTTATATTGTACTCAGTTACATTTACTTG